AACCTTGTTACCTCAACCAAATTACTCTTTTTTTTTAAACGGATTGTACAATTTTTAAACCTTTATAATTTCTCAATTTTTTAATGAAATCTTATATAAGTCGTCTGTTTAAATCCAAATCAGTTTTGAACTTATAGCAAATTTAGACAGAAATTCAAATTATATACCACTTTCTATGTCGTAAATCATAGAGCATAAAAGCATTCTACTTATATACTTTTTCATTTTCATGATAAAAGAACACTATTCCATAAATACTATGATTATTTTCGTAAGTTTTTTTCTAAAATGAAGCATTTTCTATTTATTTTCACAAATGAACAAATAAAATGAAAGTATCAGAAAAAATATTATACTCAGAAAAAAAAAACTGTATGTGTCTGTGTGTAAAACACACAGTGAGAGAGAGAGAGAGTGTGTGTGTGTGTATGAAAACACTGGAGAAAGTGTAACAACTTTATTCGAGGTAAATCATTTCACTCATATACAACAAATGAAAAGTCAACATTTATTTCACTGAATTAAATCAAAAATGAAAAATAAAGAAATTTAATTAAAACAAACTTTCAAATGCATAAAATAGATGACTGTCAAATAGAATAAATTTTATAAATAAGTGAGATTTAAATTTTCTAATTGATTCTTTAAGATGAGATTATGAAAAAAGAAAAAAGTGATTCTCTCTCAAATATAATAGATTAGATAAAGTTACGAAATGAATGATTGCTGTAACACAAATAAATATAATACAATGAATAATGAACATTTAACTCGCTTTTATTTCAATGTGTATTTAGATGAAACAAATGTTGATGCTAAACAATTATTAGAAAGCATTGAACATTGAATGGATGTTTTCATTCTAGTATCAAACTTCTCAGTGGCATGATTCACTTATGGCTTCATATTATGAATTAGGAACTATCTACTTTCATATCACATTGAACAATTATCTGACTGTGGTCGATTTCATGACGTCAGTCTGTGTTGTAAAGAATCTCTCAATTTACCAAAACTTATTGACTTACTTTGTACTACTTAGTAAATGTAGTACAAGAGTACAGAATACAGCTGAAACATATGCAGTATATATGCCAACCTAATAATGAGGAATTTAACCAATATTGTACTCAGTCAGTCAGTTACAACGTAGAAATTCGTACATGAGTACATAAGTTCACGTTGCTATATTTCATTAGCACAGAGGCGCAACTGTCAGTGCTAATCCGATAGTGGTAAAGATAGTAGAAGTATTAGTAGTAATTGAGAAGATTAAGGTTCGAAGTTATGATTCTAGAAGTATAATTCAGTGAGATAAAGTAAGAAAGATAGAGATGATGTGGAATGGAGAAGGTTAGAATTTGAGAGAACACAAAGAGTGGATGCATTTGCGCCATTCAAACCATTTTGAGTCATGTCACTTAAGGTCTCTACCCATCGGAAATTTTCGTCTCGCAGACCCTAACCAGGTAGCCTACATCTACCAACATGACTCAGTCCACTTATCAGTGATTTAATGGATATGTGTCATGTTTTGGTTTGGCCGCTCTTAGCTTTCTTTCAACCTACTCCTACACCACAAAACATAGCTCGTCCAGCAATGTACTTGCTCAACAAAAAGTCGATAACAAGTAAAAACCTTGAACCATATCGTTCAAGGTCTCTAACCATCGGTTACTATCATCTTGCGGACCCCAGCCCCAATACTGTACTGAAAATAAACATTGGTTAAACTTTGTATAAAACGTTTAGTAAAATCCCATTACTAATCCACGTAAGCATAATGTCAGTTAAGTAGGATCAAAAATCAGACTACATCTTAATTATGCATTTGAAGTATCAAGAAAATGTTCAATTTTCCAAAGAAACAAGTGAGATTTAAAAAAAATACACTTCAAAATAATCACACGTGATTCCTACATCATTTTATTAAACTAATCTAATCAATGTTCAATTGAATCAACCTGATGCTGTGTACATGAACGAAAAATTCCATTCACCCATCGAAATTATGCCTCAAGTATATCTATCATCTTCTAAGGATAATAGATGGATGTCTTTTTTCTTTTCAAACAAACGACAAAAATTGACATGACAAAAATTTCACTGAATAAAAAATGAAAGAAATCAATGCATTTAAAAGACACATAAAACTACTACTATTCACCGAAGCATACTGTTCAAATGTCAATAATTATTAAATATTCTCGACAAACACATATCAATCTTCTTCCTCCCTATAACAGTGTACTTACTTACTTACTAACTAACGAACACTTTTAGTGAACATTTTTATGACATTCACTTTCGCTGACACAACAACAACAACAACATTTTATTCATTTAGACATCAGTTTTTAATGACAAACTATTAGAAAGAGGAAAAAAATAGAGTGATTTTACCTAAGAAATTGTTTTAAAAAAGATCTTTGCAAACTAGTTGACTTTTATGTCTACATCCATATATATAAATATATATATATTTACTGATGTTAGAAATGTTTTGGCAAATATCTAGTTTTTGCATACTAGAAAAGAAAAACTCCTTGTAAAACGTTTTTTCGTTACTAGAATAGAACATTTTACAAACTAACTAACTGTAAAAGAAAAATTATGTTTGAACATGCATTCTTCACTCGCTATATCAACATTATCGATTGAATGCAAGAGAGAGAAAGTATTTATTATTTTTTTTAAAACAAATAATGTTCGCGTTCAACTACTACACTGTGCATTTGTCAACTTGTAACTTTTATCATGTTGACTTATTTTCTTTTGGTTTTTAATACAAAAGACTAAAAAGTGTCAATATAATAAAATGGACTAATAGTCTTGAAATTTATTTGCCCACTGCTACAGTCTAATCAAATTGGTTGGCTGTTTTATGTTTTCAAATGTGTAATCAAATTACGGCAAACAGAATGTCAAACCCATCAGAAGCCTATTGACATTCTGTGATGACGGTGGAAACCAGTCCATTGGATTGGATAACCAATTCTGCAGCAAGACGCCCTAACTACTGCACGGGCTTTCATTGACCATTGGGTTTCCCGTTATGGTGCCCCACTCTCACTCCACTTCGACCAAGGTCCGACCTTTGAAAGTCATCTCATTGCCGAAATATGCAAGTTATTAGGAATAAGGAAGACGCATACTACCGCATGTCGCCCAGAAGGTAACGGTCTAGTGGAGTTTCTATCATTGTATAAATAAGCTTGATTTTGTGTGCTGGTCAACCTCGTATTTTCTGGGTGCTTGTAGAATACATTCTCTACACCATATCAGGACTTTTGTTAGCGGTGCCTGGGACAACGGATTAGAATAGTATATCGTGTCATTATATCGTTGACCTTCGTTCCATATACCGAGTAAGGTGAACGCGTAATAGTTCCAAGCATATCATTCGATGACGGTGATTTTTGAAACATGCGTACTTCCAAACTTAAATTACTACTTGAGCAGCGGCTGAAACTAATGCAGATGTTGACGGATGCCAAGATTTCACCTCCCTCAACTGGTTGGGGTGTTACAAAGACCTATGATGCTTGAAAGGTTCGGCTGCTACTTCGAAAGTTGAGTGCAAGTGAATAGGTACTGTAATTTGATCTTGCCTTTGAACCCACGTGATCACTCATTCTCAGTCCGGACATTAAGCTAACAGTTCGGCGACAATTCGTCATTGTTTAAAACTTGTTATCGATGTTTGAAGCTAATTATGAACGAAGACGATGATTTCCTTACGCATATGGGCCTAACCCAACCGTGAGTGGGAATGCTTCCAGTTGAAGTTTCTATTCCTAATGCTGTTTTAGTAAAAATTAACCATAAACCGTATGTACTCCGCTTAAGGGAAGCAGTCATTTGACTTAATATTCTTTAAGAAAAGCTTAGAGTTAATTTTTAGCTATCTGACACGGTACGAATTTTCTTGATAAAATTTCACTTTATACATCAATTAACGGCATGTAAAACTTCTGATTCACTCATGCTTGTGCTGTCGATTTCTTCTTTTTATACTGAATTGATTAAATTCGACTTGATTAGATTTCAAATTTATATGAGATCGATTAGGAATGAATTATTTGTAAATCTGCAGTAACTGACAGACAGACAGATACAACACTGGACTTCGTACGTACGTACATCAGTTCAGGTTGCCATACTGCATTAGCACAGAGACGCAACTCTCAGTACAAATCTAGGAGTGATAGCGATAGTAGAAGTATTAGCTACGATGAAGAAGATTAGGATTCGAAGATATGATTCGAGAAGTATAATTTAGTGAGATGTGAAATTCAGAAGAATACTACACCTTTGCAGACGATTTTGAACCATGTCATTCAAGGTGTCTAGGCATTGGGAACTATTGTCTCACGAATCCTAACCAGGTAGTCTACACCCACCAATATAACTCAGTCCATTTGCCAGTGACTTATTGATTTCTGCCGTGTTTTGGTTTGGCCACCCGTAGCTTTCTTGCAACCTACTCCTACACAAAACATAGCTCGTCAAGGCATTCGGTAGTTAGGCATACGTAACACATCTCCCAAGCACCTAAACTGATGAAGTTTCAAAATTTCATCTATTGATTTGCCATCTCTACAGAGTACTCGTTTCTTAACGACAGCATTGCTCACTCGGATGTCCTAGGATATACGAGCAATACTTCGGACTGCAGTAACTGTTGTTATTATTGTATAACTACTTAGTGACTGAATTACAATATTAATGTATTGTGTTTATCATGAACTTTCATTTTAGTCCACTAATCACTGTTGTACTATCTATTAGTTTCATATTTCTGCCGATCAACCACTCACAGCTTGCCCTATTCCTATCCACTTTCGGCTCATTTATGCATAAGTGTTATTTTTCATATAATGATGTGAAGTCTAATCTGTTTATATCTAAACCCGTGTCTACTTAAAATATAATAAAATTGAAAGTTCGTCGATGACTTTTTAGACTCAACAATGCAAGGCATAGAGAAAAACCCAAAGTCGGCGGTACTGATGAAGTGTATAATTGGTCTATGAGAGTAATGATACGCGAGAAATAGGTAAAATCGGAAAGTTAATCGGTCAAGTGAGCACAGGAAATCGGTCAGCATCTCAAGAAACAACAATGTTTTTTCAAGTTTGGAGATATATAAGTAAAGCTTATGACAGAGAAATATAGGCTACCAAAATAAATAAAATATTCCCCAGACTACCGGTTAGTCCTTACGCTGTTTTATATTAAATTTAATAAAATGTTTATTAAAATGATGTATATATAAATATTTTTTGTAAGGCATAAAAGTAATGAAATTAGCTAATGTTCTTTCTTTTAGTCTATGCATGAATAGTTTAGTTAGTTATGTTATGTATGTCATAATTGGTTACTAACATGTATCAATCGGTTGAGTGTATCTTGTGTGTAGATGTTTTCTCATTCTACAATCACTAGAAAATGTTTTTAGCAAAACAAAAAAAAATATAAGTAAACATATGAAATCAAGGATTTCTGCAAGTGATAATTGGTATTTTATGCAATCCTCTTTTACATAATTCTTGTATATGAGTTTTGAATTGTTCTACACATTGTTCACATACACCTGTAACTAATGGAGTAATAGGAGTTGATGGTATTGCTGTGGCAGTGGTAGTATTAGTAGTAGTAGTGGTAGTAGTTGGAGTAGATAGATTTGGATCGGCAGTAGTACTATTATTATTAGCATTATCTCCAGCTGTACGTAATTCCAAATTTCTAGCCACTGAAAATGGTGTAATACTTGCAGCTACATCATAATGTGCAGTTTCATTGGCATCATTAATTTGTGAATTTTGATCTGGAATCGACTGGCCAATTGTATTGTTGACAATAGGACTAAGAGTGATTGTTGCAAATGGACGTGAATGCAATGAACAATGATTCGATGGAACACGTTCAGCACGACTTTCCATACGTGAACAAGAATGACTGAAACTCTGTTGAATATCTACAAGACATTTCTCTAGAACTTTGATTCTTCTCCTTAAAAAAAAAAAAAAATAAAACAATAAATTTATTAATATTCATAGGCAAATATATATTGAGGCTTTTATTTCTATTTCACATTTGATTAGAAAAAGAAACTATGAGCAACAATTTCCAATGAATTTTATGATAAAATATTATTTACCGTTTAAGTGAAAGCTCTGAATAGATATTACATACAGTTGCACTTGCCATTTATATGAGTGAAATCAGTGACACGTGGAAGATGATACTTTTAGTCCAAGAGTCATCATTGTCCCCAACATGTGACCACACGATCTGATGATTTTACACTTTACAAAGTTACACAGAGCATTGAAAAATATATATCTAGAAGCTAATTTCCATCGATAAGGACATAAGTGAACGATTTAGCAATACATGATAATAAAAAATAACAAATATACTGGTGGCCTAAGTTGTCACATCATATTAACACAATGAAATGCTACTATCAACAAAATGAATAATGAACGAGTTGAAATAGTGCAGTAGTAATGATGATAAAGACGATCACACATCGAGAACTTGGTTTGAAAAAAAAACAGAAAGTAAAGGCATACGTGAAGATGAAGAGATGAAAATCGAGGATAGAACAAGTAGTGAATGAATCTGATATGCTTGAACGCTATTACGAGTTCACTTTACTCGGTAAAAGGGACGAAAGTCAACGATGGAGCGACACGATAGGCTATTCTAATCCGTTTGTCCACGGCCTGGCTAACTAGATCAAGAAAACTTGATAAGGCGTCGAAAGTTTATTCTACAAGCACCCAGAAAATACGAGGTTGACAAGCACACAAATCGAGTTTATTCATACAATGATGGAAACCCCCTTGGAAAAACCACAAAATAGCGTACTAAAATAAACCATGAACCAATGACAGCCAAGGATTTCCGAGGGGGAAATGTGAGCTGATGGTCAACTGGCGCGAAAACATAAAAATTCAAAATTTCAGAATAAAATTACAAAATTAGGACCTTTTCCAAGTGAGTTCTGGGGATCTAACGTCCCCAACACAATCGACGTTACTATGGTTAATTCTGATTTCAATAATTCAATATTGCTAACCGATGAACGCAGTTATTACCCAGACCCCAATCAGTAATTTTCTAAAGAAACCTGATCATATTTTGTTCTTTCAAAGACAACATTTCACAGTCATAAAATACAATACAACGAAGACTGCAATGTAGCATACTCTCCCTTTCATTAGCATACGAACACCTTTACCAACCAAAGAATGAATCAAGATGGTAAAGACCAATCAAATACTTTTCTTGAAGATAATTCTCAAATGAATGTTAGTTCATGAACCACTAGACTTAAGGATGAAAAAAAAAGCTAATCATAAATAAATTTACACATAGATTGAATTCGTCTGTATTGTCAATAATGTTACAAGTACCCAGCATGAACAAAAATTCAGTTATAATTGTCAACTAAAAAATACCATTATCCAAATACCACTGAGCATTGCTGTTACAATACAATAGCTAAATAATAGTCGAATAAAAACTAGACCTTATACAGATTAGATAAGAGATTAATTATTACTTTCACGATTTCTGAAGACGTTAATGATGAAATAATTAAAACCAATAAGTTTGATCAAGTTAGAAGATTTATAATTCAATATTCAATGTCAACAAGTTCTTACGAAGTAATAAAATTTGATATAAAAAGTTTCCAGTCCAGTTCAAAATTGGCCGAATAATACTCAACAACATCGTTACACAATACAATGCATATTATATACACAATGGAAGTTTAGACAGGTAACGATAAAATAAACTATCCATTTCTAATGAATCAACATCTTGATTTGCTTTTCCCCTTAATCTTTACAAACAACAGATTAATCAGATGGTGAAGTATCAAGGAAAAAAAAGTGTTTGCTTTCTTCTTCTTGTTTTTCTGATTAATTTTGAAAAAAAGAAAAACACAGGCTAATTAATTTTCTTCATCTGCTCGATTCGCTTTACAAAATTGTTCAAAGTAAGAAGAAAAAAATAAACTTATGGAGACAGACAATGATCGGATTTGTATCAATCCGATGTGAGTGGATTGTTCAAAATAAATTAATGTTATTTCGCATATTTGCCAATATCTCCTGGGTTTTTTTCTTTCTTTCTCGATATTTATAAAACTAATTTTATGTTTATTAACATGACAACAAACCCATATTAAGTTGGTGGACATTAAAACACACAAGTAGAATGAATGTCTGTCAGACACACACATATTCGATACGAATTTCCTTATTGCATACTGATGGTTATTAAATGATGAATTGTTTTATATGCGTGCAAATTTTGAACGTGTATACACTGCCGACTGTATCAGTCGGTCAGTCAGTCAGTCAACAACAACATAGAACTTCGTCCGTACGTACGTACATCAGTTCAAGTTGCCATACTACATTAGCGCATAGAAATGCGATTGTCACTTAGAATCCTATAGTGGTAGAGGTAGTAAAGGTGTTAGCAGTAATCGAAGAGATTAAGGTTCGAGGATATTTATTCAAGATGTAGAATCTAGTAAAAGGAACTTGAAAAAGAAAAAGATAAAGGTGATGAGGAACTCCGACTGTATCATACATACTTACCCTTGAGATTGACAATTAAGTATTTTACACATTTTTGAAACCATGAACCGATCAATGTTAGACCACCACCATTAGAAACCTGGAAGCACTGGACGGCCGTCTCGTCCTGGTATGGGACTCCTCAGCAGTGCGCATCCACGACTCCTGTATCCCGCAGGATTCGAATCCAGGACCTTCGGTATTGTGCGTGAACGCCCTAACCGATAGACCACTGAGCCGGTATCTAACAGTGTTAATGTCTAACTTAATCAAATTCACGGAGTTGCGCAACCTCATACATAGTCTTCGGTAGACACTGCCTACACCCGAACAGGTTGAACTTCACTGGTCACGTCTTCCCGCTAGAACTCAGAGAACATTCCTCACGAAGCTAGTCACAAGTGAGCACAGGTAATTTTCATTACAGGGGTTGTGAAGATTGGTAAGTTACACATTTTTGACGGTTAGGGCGTTCGCGCACAATACCGAAGGTCCTGGGTTCGAATCCTGCGGGATACAGGAGTCGTGGATGCGCACTGCTGAGGAGTCCCATACCAGGACGAAATGGCCGTCCAGTGCTTCCAGGTTTCTAATGGTGGTCTAACATTGATCGATTCATGGTTTCAAAAATGTGTAACTTACCAATCTTCACAACCCCTGTAATGAAAATTAAGTATTTATTGTAAAAAGAAACACAATAGTTATAATATTCCATATGAGTAATAATACTCCGATCGATCATGGTGACATTTTATTACTACTATGAGATTAATTATCATGTAACGCAGTAAGTAATCAAGAACATTTGGGGGATCATCGGATGAGAATTCCAATAAACATTGAAGTTTGTAATCTACGGTCCAATCAATATAGACACAACTTCACATTTTGTTATTATAATTAACATAAGAGATGAGATGCGAAAGAGTTCCACAATCATTGATCAGTTTATTTAATAATCGAATAACGTTATAGTTACATAATAGTATTACTATAAATTAACGAACTATAATTCAAATTACTTATCTCACACATTAGATTGCTCACACAGCTCAACATAATCACCACTTAAGCAACTTTCTGTGATTAGTTTGAGAAGAGTACGAACAACGATTTGAGCAGATGAAAGAATATTTCACTAACCTTCTCTATAATATGCATGCTAAAGTGGTTAGGCGCTATCAGGTATCAGAAAATTTATATATATATGTTCAAAAGGAAACAGTTGGTAACTTGTCTTTGTCCTAGAAACAAAAACGCTGCTACTAAACATTACTACATTCTTTGCGACTGTTTCTCATAATTTGATTGCAGCATTACGCTGTTATTTTATTGCTAACTCAATCAGCTTTACTCACTTTGTTCCTAATAACTGTTGGCATTTGCTCATTACGTAACCCACAACATATAGTTAGTTCTCTGACTACTTATTTTTATTACTAATAAATATTGTAGAATATTCTTTGCTATTGAATTCTGGCGTGTTATTATGAAGAATTCCAATAAAATTCATTTGTGTAATCTCTTCCCCCACCAACTTGTAGTTCATTATTTCGAAATAATACAAGTTGTAGATAGCTGATGAGTACTTCATGAAATAAAAGGAGTTCATGTTACGCTGCCCAAATCTTTTATTTCGCTCTTCAACAGTCGAAAGAAAATCTGCAAACTTTTGTAACTCAGATTTGCAGATTGTATTTAATAAGGATAAATTTCATCAAATGTATGCGACTTATTGGCGTGATCTGGCGTTACAGTATCAACAGATAAGCATAATGGAGTTTGAAACCGATGGTCACATAGTCAATAAGTTCTTAAACGTTTACTGGTTTGTGATATAAGATGACCTATTCAATTAAACTGGTAAGACTAATGAGCACATCAGTTCGTTAAATGAGTAGCTCCATAATGCTTATTTTACTGGGGACTTTGACAGTAAGTTGAAAACATTAATTCCAAAAATAATGCAGATGAAACCGGCAAACATGCAGTGGTTCAGTGATTATGGCGTTCACGCTTAGAGACTAAATCACAGACTCAACCGAGTAAGAGGAGCACTATTCCTCAAAACCAAATATATGAATTCCAGCATGGTTGATGCGAAAGAAATAATAGTCAAGCCTGAGTTAACTCAGAGCGAGCACATTGTGTCTCTGTAGTAAACAACAGTTGAATACACTATTATATTATTGAACGTTTTCGAGATCAACTTGTAAATGACTCACATATAGTTCTAACGTATGAAATAATTAGGTCACTGACAGCACTATAATAAACAGCTAAACTTGGCAGATTATTATAAGAATAATTTAAAAGGCTAAAACTCACTCGAGTACTTCATTTTTAAGTTCTGGTGATAGGTTTATTTCTTCAAACGCTTTAATCATTCGACCATAATCCAGACGAGCACAAGAATCTAAAGCTGCTTGTCGTAATCTAGTTAGACCATATAAATCAGCTATTCGAAGAAACAATGGTGCAGTCACATCATTCAGACGAAATGTAAGCGTCCTTTCAGCCAAGCTAACCATTGAATCAATTTGGTATCGATGTAAAATTGGTAGAAGCTTTTCAGCTGTTTCGACTTACAATATGAAAGTGAGAAGGAAGTAAGACAGAAAAAACGTGAATACTAATAAAATCGATCTCTTTTTTGGAAAAATGGTATAAGATATTTCCAGGAATGGTGACAGAAAACAGTCAGACAACAAACTAGGAAATTTGAGCCTACCAACTACAGGTAGAGTGGAGGAAATAATAGGTAGCTTAGAATTTTGTAATTATTCTTATGAAATTTACAATCTACTTAAGATAAAATTAAGTAGACTGTGTAAATGAGTAAAATATTTGACTGGGAATTGAATTGTCAAGACTGACATCTTGAGGTACAGAGAAATGCAGTGTATGTATTTATCTTCAAGGTTGAATATTTTTTTCATTTGGTTTTAAACGATTCAAACAAAAACATGATTAGTGAACGATCAAATACATATTCTGAAAACTGATGAGGTGATGTAGATGCTTCCAATGAATGGTACACTAATTATTAGCTGTCATGTTAAGTAATAAATGAACACTTTTTTTAGAATCTATGAGTTCAAAACGGCGAAAATTCGGAATAAACCTTTTTCCAACTACGTTATAAACTTCATGACTATATACTATAATAGAACAATGTTTTACATCTCCATTTATATACATGCATACTACATAGCTTACAATATTACTACAGATGCATGAAAATGTAAATATTAGAAAAGTGAAGACACAAAAGAACAAAAGATAAGGCTATTAACCCTGAAGTGGTCATCAAGAACAATGAACCAAGTAATAGCAACATCAATGCGAAAGTAATAATTTCATTATATTCACCAGTAGATGAAAGTATTCAACGTTAGTGGATGTCTGTATGGCACTTTGTGTAATATACGTGACGCGGATGATTTTGCATTAAAAGTTAGCGAGAGCTTTTACAGGATTACAACTCATTCAAGAGTGTATTTAAGCATGATGTTGTTCCGGGGAGCTACAAATATCAATCGTATTTGTTTTGCTGACTACCACTCAAAAATTTATATATTTAAAACACGTAAACATTAGTACAAGGAAGCACCAAAATATATGTATGCGGAATCCAATAGTATCACATATATAGTCGCAAAATATTGTGTCCAGTAAGTGTGCGGGCCACGGTCACATGAAGTCTGTTTTGCAAAAAAATTGGGGTTTTGTTGATATTATCCTCCAGGAAGAACTGCATAATGGTGACAACGCATTTGGCTTATTGTTTAATAAATCCACGAGGTTCTTCAAAAGCGGTTTGTTAGCTTTTGTCTCCTAATCATTCAAGTCGCGACCATATTTCCCGAAAACAAAGAGAAATCTCTAAATCTAAAGTCTCAAGGCAGTAGTTGATGTACAGGGAAACGAGTAATAGGTAAGGATGGCAGACCAATAGATGAAGTATTGAAACTTCATCCGTTGAGTTGGTTGGAACAGGTGTTACGCATTCCGAACCACCGACTGCTTTGACAAGCTATGTTTTGTGGTGTGGTAGTAGGTTGGAAGAAAGGCAGGGGAAGCCAAAACAAAACATGGCGGAAATCCATGAAATCAGTGACAAATGGACTGACTCATGTCAGTAGATGTACATTACATTTGGTGTCCGCGAGAAGATAGTAAACGATGGTTAGAGATCTTAAACGATATGGTTGAAAATCGTTTGCAATGGTGCAGGTGCACCCATTGTTTGTGTTCTGTCAAATTCTAATCTTCTGAATTCCTCGTCATCTTTATCTTTCGCTTTCCAGATTTATTTCACTGAATTATACCTCTTAAATAAATTTTTCGAACCCTAATCTTCTCGACTAACTCTAATACTTCAACTATCTCTACTACTATGAATTGACAACTGTATTTATGAGCTGGTGTGGTACGGCAACCTGATTACAAACTTAAAGCCCTACCTTCACGCCAATTTAATGGTGATGTTAGTGAAATAGATATTCCTAATACCTTCGTATACGTACACTGACTCAATCGCGTTAGTGATCATGAAATAAAATACGTCAAATACAAAAGTTTCACCTAAACTATTCATATAAACAGCAGATAAATAACAGGAGATGAAGTGAGGAGGAAATCACTACAACCTACACAAATTAATTATGTTATGAAAATCAACCACGCATAAAATATGAGCGAGTAGATAGATGAATGCATGTCATTGTGAAAACGTAAATAAACTCAACTAAGCTAATCGTATCAAAGTGCTCAGAATAACCAATCACGTTAAAATGATGCGTCCATTTTGGAAGCTAGAATAAATGTCAACGAACGCTACAAGAAGCTACACTACAAATCAGTTATAAACAATTATGGCTTAATGCTCAGATGAACTGTTGTTTTGCAACAGTAAAAGTCATCAGCAATACACAAGTATGATCGTACGCGATCATGTAGAATCATTAATGAACAAATGTTAAAAAACATAGTCCGTGTATTTATTGACCAGATTAAACATACTATAAATACCGTTTATGAAGTAAGAGTCAAACTGATATGAAATTGCATACCTGTCATATCACAACCACCAGGTGTGTACATGTGACGTAACATTTCTTTTATGTCATCATATTCATCCACTGGAATGACAACTTCATTTTTTTGATTTTCCTAACAAAATGTTAAACAAAACACAATTATTAGTGGGAAATTTAAAAACATTAATGTCAACAAACAGTCGATTTTTTAAAAGTAGCACTGAAAGGGCAAATAATTGAAAAAAATTAACTGACTACTACACCTTAAGTTCAACCATAAAACAAACTTTTTAACATTACCTATGAAGTTGGAAATAACATACAAATCTACGAATCACAGTTAGAGCATTTTGTATAGATAGGAGAGGTGTACCTAGTAAACGGTTATTCCAATCGCGTTATACATTATGCCTAGTCAGATTAGTAAGCGAAAATTCATTGGCACTTGAAACAATGTCAATAAGAATGTAAAAATGATTGAAAATTGCAATTTATCGAACCACTTTAACCAGTAATAAGATATTAGTTTCTAGTTCTATGAACAACACAATTATTACATCATACAAAGCGTAATATGTCAACTGTTTGTTGAATTTATCAATTAGAGTTATGGAGATTAGGCTGGACGGCCGTTTCGTCCTGGTATGGGACTCATCAGCAGTGCGCATCCACGAATGGATGAGGTCACGCAAAATATGTAGATTGATCAGAATTAGACATTAACACCGTCGAATGCCGGCCCAGTGGTCCAGAGGTTAGGCGTTAGCGAGCAAGAACGAAGGTCCTGGGTTCGAGTCCTGTGAGGTGCAGGAGTCGTGGATGCAAACTGCTGATGAGTCCCATATCGGGACGAAACGGTTGTCCAGTGCTTCCAGGTTTCTACTGGTGGTCTAACAATTATTGATTCAGGATTTCAATGTATGATGAATATCGAACTATTCAGTTGTATCGTTTTATTTAAAACAATGTATTATTATCAAGAGAAAAAAAAATCGTAGAAATAGGCTTATTTTGGAAAAATAAAATCTAGTAAATTATCTTTATTCATTGTTTATTATTTCTACTACGCTTCAGAAGGGAATAAACAAACCAGTTATACAAATACTGAGAAGTTTTATTTGCTTCAGAGATTAGATAGTTAAATTTGGCCAAACTCTAAGCGAAAAAAATTATGTTAATAGATAAGTGTTCTGTGTTGCGGCTCATCAGCAGTGTACACTTGTGAATCCTTTTAGTTTCACTTCAATATGAAGGACTCAACGTGCATGTGTTCGACAGTAATAAGAATTCTAACGATAGTATGTCGGTTAACAAGGATCAGGTGACTAGAATAGCTGCACAGTAATTACTAAATGATTCGATGTTAAGTTGAATCCTAATATTGGTTACAGTGCATATCAAATAGGTAGATAAATACCAAACTTAATAATTGACAACAATTAACAAATTACTACAAAGGTTTGTGGAGATCATAAAATATAATGGTTCACGTCACGAAATGATTTCAGCTAGATAACCACCAATTAAAACCAGCAAGTACTGTATAGTTAAGCGGTCCTGTACTATGTGTGCCAAAACATTTGTCCATTACTTTCTTGTTTCTAATGGTAGTCTAACGATCGCCCCCAGCTGTAAACTATGTGATTCGTAAACTCCACCTGTAGACCCCCGGTCCCAAGCCCGGATAAAGGAGAAGCGTTGGGCATGAGATTGGTGACCCCGTCTAACAAAAAACTAACTCGCCAGCAGGAAGAAATAGTTCAAACCATATAAACTTTACCCTGGAAGTTAGAAGGTCTTCATTTAGGAGAGCTATGACGCCTCATGATGGAAGCCGAGTTCTTTCGGAAGTCACAAGGTCGATGCCCCTTCTAACAAGCGGAGCCCTTGCTCAGTGTGAGCAGCCGGGAGGTAACATCCATCCTCATACCAATAAAAGCACACGAGACCAAAAATGTGATTCATAATTTCTTTAATATATTTCGTTGACATAATATCAATATAGAACGAAAACCATACAAAGCAGTTGAAAACGAGTCAATAATTCACTGGAGAGAATATCAGGGACGAATAACAGTGTTTCTTTAAAACAAAAAACGAGATCAAATTCTGCTTAGATTGTTTTCATTTGATTAAAAAACAAATCATTTACTAAATTCTTTCAAGTTATAGTAATTATTTGTCTTTGCTTTGTTCACATTATTATTATTTGGTCAAAAAAAGGAATGGAACTGTATGGTTTGTATGACATGGTTTATTGATTACTTTTCAAATAATTCAACTAACGCGCAAGGCAGACAAACAAAAAAAAACATGCTTATTTATTATTAGACTTTCTAACTTAAATTTGAAAATACAACTGAAAACATTTAAATGTACCAGAATTTGACTAAATGATGTATTTAAATGACGAATGATATTCATAGGCAAAAATTGAAATGAAGTACATATTCAGGGTGATAACTTTTTGCAACGGAAACGAATATGTTTATCAGTTAATGCATTAGACTAGATCAATTTTAATGCGAAAAGTCGATCAATAGAAAATTCTTAAATCATATTTTCTCTCTTACAGAAATATTTTCTTAGTTGAAGTGACAAACTCAGCTAAGCTAGATCACCATTAGAAACCTGGAAGCACTGGATGGATGTTTCAACCTAGTATAACACACGAGATTCCCGCCTGCGTGGATATGAAAATAATACAATCTCCAGAAATCCAGAAATTCCTATGTTGGATACGTTGGATAACTAGATCGACATTGATTTTAAACATCATTTTAATGATCATTGAAATTAGTTAAAAAGTTTGCTTCGAATACATAAACCTGATATGTTGTACAAATCAGGTACTGAATTTAGACAACGCCTTATAGATTTCAATTTGTAAATATTTATCACTAAATTCATGATAGTAATATTTTGTAGTAAGTATACACAATCAACTGAATATGTTAAGCAATTTAGTTACATGATGAAGAGCGAAGAATGTTAAATTCACATTACTCACTGTATTTTGAACGAAAATAAAATATCGTGAAAAGAAGACTAAGGTAAAGTTGCCAATGTTAAAATAATTCTCAGTTAATTATAAACCAAGAGGCTATTTACAGAATGTTATCAATATGAAGATTTCACAAATAATACTCGTAGGTGTACTGTGACTTATATCGGTTGAAAAAGAGAGGTCCTGAGGAATTCAGAAGATTAGAATTTGAGAGAAGACAAATAATGGATGCATCTGCGCAATTACAAACACTTTTGAGCCCCGTCATTTAAAGTCTCTGACTATCGGTTACTATTGTCTCGCGGACCCTAACCAAGTATTCTGATAGTGACATGTGGGTTGTCCGTTGAAGATTTACTGAATTTAAATAAGAGATTTGCTTAATGAGTCGTGAGTTAACAATGATTATTGATCTTTCGTTATGATTAAGTTACTGGGAACAAAGAATGGTAAATATGACCCAATGACAATACATGCATAATAAATGTTGATATCTCTATAAATCTTCCAACAAAACCAATCATCACTTACAATGCATCGATTTTGAAACATTGCTTTGAATACTGGTGAATAGATTGATAGAATAGCACGATGACAATGTAGATTTCTACCTTGAACAACTAGAACAGCATCACTGAATAAGAATGGATTGCTAAAGTCTAACACATCATGTTCATCTTTCTGTGCTTCAGCATCATCAAAGTCACAACTGGAACGAAATAAAAATACAACTATAATCAGGTTTGTTTATACTGATGAAGTTAAATTAAGTTATTTGATGGTTTGATCAAGTACTGTATGGCTACACTTGATAAAGAAATTATACGAAACACTGATCATACTTTGAATATTTTTTAAAAAGATTAACATTCAGTCTAAAACTGATATTGTCATGAAGCGAATATACTTTTTTATGAATTAAAAACTAATGACATGTGTACTTAGTATACAAAAGTATAGGGTAGTTATAACTGAGATATTTTGCGGAGTTTGTAGTTAGATAAAGGTTTTTTTATCACAGATTAAGAACTAGGAATCAATGGATAGTGGTTTCGCTCTAGATAATACAAAATGAATTTCACAAGTCATAGGATATATGGGTCTGTAGGGATAACTAGATTTCATTGCTTAACATTACAAACTGATGTTAGTTAGAAAACCATTGAAAACAAAATTCAATAGTCTCACAGAAAATTGGAGACTGTCAAAACAGTAGGCTTTTCAGTCACATTTTACTAGTAAACAAACTGTTGAATTATGTTACGTTTTACAGAGGTGCATCTATATACTAAGATGTTTTTTAATAATTAAGCTATTCGCCACTATAATGAACAAGCAACAACAAGTCTTAAATATTTCCGGGTATTATTCACGGAAAATTTAGCGCGAAATCAATTACAAACCGAATTCGTAAGTGATCTAGTGCATTCTACGTAACAGCTAGTGTGATACTGTTGATGATAAAGTACTAGAAGTGCCTAAATAATTGTGCGTCATACAAATTATACAATTTGTGAGGGGGTTGGGATATCGCCCAGGTTCTCAAACCGAAGTGTTGGTTTTCTTACATGAGCACTCACCCAGCCCTTGGATCCAAAAGTGTAATCCCGTAAGGCAGTGGAGTAATGGTAAAAGATGCGTTCTCCGGTAGCAAACGATTAAGGATAGACTCATACGCCATTAGTCACAACAGGATCCTCAAGCCTAGGTGCACTGATGGTTTGGAATCACGGTTTTCCAACTGCACTAGGTAGATCACCCGTACCTGCCGATCAGGTATGAGTGCTGAACACTTGCTTTCCGTTTCCTCAAATTTGTAAACAATAACTCACCACGAAAAGGCAGTGAGTAGACCTTCCCATGTATAGCTACTGTCAGAGAAGTACTACATACTGCCTTTTGGTAGCAGGGCTTTTGTTTACGAAATTGGGATAACGAAAAGCAAGCGTTTAGCACCTAAACCTGATTAGTCGGTACGGTAGGTCTACGTTGGGGAGTTGGAAAATACTGATTCCATACCATAGGTGCACATAGGTTTCAGGATCCTGTTGAGATGAATGACATATGAACCTGGTCTTAATCGCTGGCTTCCTTGAGACTCTGTTCCATGATCATGCGGATTGTACCTGTAGGTCTTAGGCTTGGCATGTGGCTTGCCTAGAAAACCAAGTGCTTCAGTCTGGGCGTTAAGACGCTATCTCAGCCCACACGCATTCAATGATTTTTATGGTTTATATAATTTTGATGCACTTTTGTACCAACATTTATATGTTTAAATAAGGTAACGAAAATACTATTGATCTAGCTGAAATGATGCAGATAGGATGTATTGAACTTGCAACTCTAATGACCAAAAGTTTAATAGTTTAACCACTAAAATGTAGAAAAAACTATCATTATAAGATTACCATTTTATCAGATATAAAACATACAAATTTCAAACACCATTTCCAAAAAGTAAATACTCATATTCACATTTAGTTGAATAACAATATTTTATGCTGCACATAATTTACATACATCACTGTGAAAATTTAAATAATCTCATTTATAGACATAAATCTTTGATTGTATCATATGACAAGTAGCTGCTCAATGATCAAATTTAATAAAATAAATTTTAACGAATTGGCTGTATGGTTTTTACTAGTAGTATAAATTAAAAAAATATCTCACATCAGTTATCGATCAACAGTACAAGATGATATTAGTAATACTGAGAGCTAAAGAGAATTTCGGTGCTTCAATACACACACAACACAATTATTGTAATCTATCTAATTATTATTATTTCTGTTCAAAGCATCAATCGTTATGCATATATATAAGCAAGCGTTTAATGCATCAATAATTATGCTTTATTCTTAGTGACAACAATGATGTTTATATATAATAAAAGGTAAAAAATAAGGTCAAGTTAGATTGTTTCTTCTTTAAATGAAACTAAGTTAAATAATTTAGTGTTTCTAAATACAGTAATCCAGTGCGCAAAAATTATCATTGCAATTAGCAAATAAGCAAAAAAATTGAAATTTAGCATTTTGTAAATCAGTATATCTCGAAAACAAATCTGAATGAACCGTCATTCAATAATGTTCATACCTAAAGCTATTATAACATGTTAACGGAAGTGAATAGCTAAAGTTGAAGTCGTAGACTTACAGTTAATCAATTTGCCTGAAAGAATCACTTCGATAAACAGGCTAAAGATAAACTATGACGACAACAAAATTATCTGTTTTGGTAAGGTTTTTTCTAATTACTGATGGATAAAGACGTTACTGTAATGAATGAAGTAACGTAAACTTACATTAGAAACCAGTGCAACACAACAAATGAACTCTTTATTGAATACGCTTAAGGATTGATAAATGTCAAATGTAGATTATTGTAATTAGAAAGCATTAAGGAATCCTGCATTAATCTACATATACACAATGAAGTCATTCATATTAATTCTGTGGTAAATAATGATATTGAATTAATTGTATTAGTTCACTGAATTCAGTGTTGTATTCTGCTATTATGAACTTGTTTCATAAGCGCTTTCATCTACAACGCAAAGTAATATACATATCTGGTATAAATGGTAAATTGTGTTAACGTTTACTAGTTTCTGAATCTGGGTTGGAATATTTTAAAAACTCATGATTTTAATAACTCCGCCTGTAGACCCCCAGGGGCTACTACCAGTCCCAATCCCGGATAAAGTAAGAGGGTTCGGATTTCGGTTGACGACCCCATCTTGCAAAAAGCTAACTCACTGACAAAATAGTTCAAACCATTTGAACTCTGCTCTGGAAGTTAGAAGGTCTTCATTTAGAAGAGTTATGACGTCTCATGATGAAAGCCGAGTTCCTTCGGTAGTCACGAGGCCGATGTCCCTTCTGACAACCAGAACCCTTGCCCGATGTGGGCAGCCGGGAAGTAACATCCACCTTCATACCCATAAAAACACGCGAGACCAAATTGGTTACAATCAAATACTTTCTACACCTCCTAATGACTATCTTATCTCCTCGATCAACTCTTTTCTCGATCGCTTGTCAACTCGCGCCCCTAAAACAAACGGTTTGAGCTCTCGAAACATTATTCCTGGTCTCCTGAAACCCAGTAATAAATTACATATTGAAGCTTTTAATGTTCGAACCTTGTGCCCAATAGGGCAACAGGCTTCATTAACTAGAACACCGGAATCAAGGGCGATCGATGTATGTTGCGTCTCCGAAACACGCATAGAAGATCCAAGTAAAATCATCAGTTCGATTTCAACTAGTGCAGATACAGACACAACACGGTTTACGCTTCGCGTTTCTGGTAGCCGTGATGCTGCTTCGAATAGAAGTCGCTTATGCTCTGTCCGACTGAACGGTTCGGTACGGACACGTAAAGATACGGCGACTCGCCCTCGCCTCTTCGTCGTATTTGTCTACACTCCCTCTGATTCCAGTTCAGACGACGTAAAGGACGAGTTTTACGGAAAGCTTTCGGACATCATCCAGAATGCTAGGCGCTCTGATATAGTTATAATGGCTGTAGACTTTGATGCTCAAATAGGTAGACTAAGTGAGAAGGAAAGATACCTAAATGGATCTTATGGTGTCGCGGCTCAGAGGACACACAATGGCGACCGTCTGCTGCAGCGATGCTCAGATAGCAAATACAAACCTGACGACCCCCAAAGCCAAGAAATCCATCTCTTAGCGAAACTATCTCAGAAAAGGATGGATGTATAAGTCATTATCAGGCATACCTCTGAGATTTTTAAGGACGGTGATCCAGTTTTAGAAACTAGATTGACTAAGATCTTAGGAAGAATCTGAGAACTAGACGTAATACTATCTGACTGATCTCGATCACTGATTGTCCCAGTCTATAAGACGGGACAAAAGTCCTCTTATGACAATCACAGAGGAATAAGTCTAACCAATATAGTATTTAATATACTGGACTTAATAATACTCGGAAGCCGAACCAGAGCTCCTGAAGAGAATACTAGAGAAAACCAGGCTTGTTTCAGACCCTGACGTGGATGCATGGACCAGATATTCAGACTTAGTCAGGTACTAGAACAAATACACGTTCAGACGCCCGACAATAGTAGTATTTCTCGACCTTAGAGCAGCATCTGACTGTGTTGATCGTGAGGTTCTGTGGCAGTGTCTGTCATTGAAAGGTGTACCGAAGAAGTACATCGACCGTATACGAGCCTTCTACTCGGATACCACAGGTTGAATGAGACCTTGTGGTGAACTGTTGTCGGAATTCTTTACTTCAAGTGTTGTCCGTCAGGGATGTCCACTCTCTCCATTCTTGTTTAACTTTGTCATAAACATGCTCTAGAGTTAACATGATCATCGTCTGACTCTTCAGGAGTGGACCTTCTACCAGGAGCCACGCTTTCTGACTTAGAGTATGCTGGTGACATAGTTCTACTTGGTGCAGACACTGACAAAATGCAGTCTTCTGAAAAACCTAAGCAACAATAAAAGCATGTTCGGGATGCGGTTCTCATCCTCGAAATGCAAACTGTTGCTTCAAGACTGGGTTTCATCGGCACCTGAACTAGAGATAGTGTGTGAAGCAGTTGTTTGTGTGATGTTTGTGATGTTTGACGTAGGATACTAGATTAAGATGAGAAATTAGCTAATCAGGCAGTGTACTTACATCAACCGTGGCACCAGGGATAGATGTTACTTATGCATTTCCAGCTATTGCCTACCAATACGTGTAGTGTCGTTTGATGTAGAAGTGAGCTATAAAAAAACTGGAGGCGACCAAACGAAGATATGACATCAGTTTCCGAAGTCACTGACAGCTGATTTGGAAACGTTGTAGAATGCGAACTCCCTGGTTCACGACCAGAGGTTGGAGACGATGGTTGGTAGAATTCAAGGCCAAAAATAAACGATAAAACTCACTCTTTGTGTTCTATCAGATTCTAAAATTCAGTTTTCGTTCATATACCTTTTTAATCTTTTTTTCAACTATATCTTTTATATTTATTGTTCCCTACTTCAAATACTTTGAGTTATTTACTAATCTTGATAATTTCATTACACTCATAATTCTATGGGACGACTCGGGTAATACACATTTGCGATATGGTGTAATGACGATGGTTGATCAGTTCTTAGAAAGGTCAAAAGCAATACCCTATTTACTGTAAAACATAAAGCAGTAGGGCCCACTGATTAAAACTGATAGTTAGGACCATAAGACAATCAGTATCAATATGTATTAAAGTTATAAGAACGGAATTGAAACGAACATGTGAATGTAGTGGAGAATCCAATTATTTACACGAGAATGAGTAGAAATTTTAACTTACTCAGCTTGTATAGCGATTTCACTAACATTTGGAGCCGTGCAACTTGACCTATCTATTTGTGCTGACCGAAAGCCCGACATCATGAGGGATGAGTTTATACTTGGCGGCACAAAGTTTTGCTGGGAAAGTGTAGGCCAATAGAAAGCTGCTTCGTAGGTCATAAGAAAATACAAAATATTACCTTATTATTGCTTAATACAATGTATCATTGAAAATAATATCTAGAATATTTCTTTCATTTGGGATATTAATGTTGTTTGAATACATCACTTGTGTTACTCAAGTAACTAAGACACTTACAAATATCAGCTGATTGTAGGTGCCTTTTTATCCGTGTATCAGAATTTTATTTATTCCGAATTTCTTTAAATGGAGGTGGTCCCACGATACGAATATGAGGTTATTATTCCACCAGAAGGTGGTTGCGTTTCTCTTGAATCAGGCGTCTACGGTGTAAATAATATTCACAAACGAATTACCGACGATCATTATGCTGGATTTTTTATTGATGGGATGACAAATGATGCAGATAGTTTGCATGCTCCCTATGGGGGTGAAATTGACTATCAAACTCCAGACACAGTAAGGAGAAAGGACCATATCTCTCTGCGAGAAAACTCAAATTTCTGCAGCACCTCATCTGTTACACTTCCAGCTCACTTGCAGTATTTACAGTCTAATGAACAATGCAACACAAGTTTCCATTATCACTGTCTTCCACTCCAACTGAAATATTTTCATTCACTAAAAAATTTTGCAATACTAAGGCAGATTGGCGTCGGACAATTTAGTAGTGTTTATCGAGCTGAGTGCAACCAACCTTATGGCCTTAATGTAGCTCTAAAAGTTATCAAGGTATGTAAACTGCTATAAGTGTCAATATCGTATCGTAGTCCTGTACCACCAAGTTAAGGCACGTATGCTTTTGACTGTTTTTTATCAATGTAACACCTAATTTCTTGTGATTACGCTTTTTGTTCACCAACTTACTGTGATGGTTTTTGTCGGCTTATGTATTATACCTAGATAAAAGTGCTCAAACTTCAAATGCAGAAAAACATTTTCTGTTTCTAGCTCTAATATTATCTTATAATCAGGATTTTATAACGTTATCTTCAGTAACCATACTTTTGAAATATTTTCAACTACAGGTGAAATTTTCGTAAACTCAAGTTAGCTATATGCATAAAAGGTCTATATATCGGATACGTAGTGCACCAACTCAAAGACAAAGTGGAGTAAATCTTGACGATTTATCTGAATACTCTACTTTGTCCAGTTACGAAGTGCAAGGGTCTATTGGACAAGGTCAGTTTTCGACTGTATGGCAAGCCTTTCACTCTCCATCTCGTCAAGCAGTCGCTATGAAAAGAATTAAGGTTAATCTAGTTTTATGTGACTGTTGTTCACATTTGTTGTCCACCGCACTGATGTTGTGTATGTTAGTCTTTACATTGGTTACTTGCATGCATAAAAAGCTATGTATTATTTTTTTCCAGGTATCAAAAGTTATGTAACTTTAGTTAAATCTAGTGCTATCCTTAGTTATTTTAGGACTCGTAGGTTTAAGGAAATTTAAGATACAAAATACAGATACTTATTTTTAGAATCAAGATGAAATTTTCTAGCCCATTAGTTCACATGCATAGGTTTTGGACAGTTTGTTTGTTTACGCCAAGTCCATAAATTGCATTAAGAACATCGGTGAGATTTTTAGGTTTAGTTTAAAAATACTTCAGATAACACCGAAATTTCCCAACTGTGTTCAGTTAATGCATGCTTATTGGAGTTTTCAATATATTCACTCATGTACTGATTTGCTTATCCTCTGTCGACCTTTAATGCGGTATTTTCCACTTTATTAAAAAATATATTCATTCGCAATTCTTAATTTTTATTTAACAAACAATAAGAAATTTCCTTTATTGATCCATTTAAAAATCTGACTATATAAAGTCTAGGACCACTTTACTGTCCGTCATTTCCCTTGGTTTTAGGACAGATAAAAGTAGGTGTAACATAAAACGTATCCACTGTTACTTTGTAGACTGAAAGATCAATCTTGAATCCTTTTTTATTTTATCGTAACAAGTAATAGTAAGGAACTCTACACGACCAAAAATTAACAGATCTGTCCATAAAGAACCCTTAAAGTTACAAGTCAATCAGAGCTTGGATAGGAGAAAAAGTCATATCTGCACTGTGTAATGTTGCTTCGGAGTTATGAAAAAGGCCGTAGTTGTACAAAAATAAACCAATGTTTAATACACTACACTGATTTAGTTAAATAACTTAATACATAGGATCCTCACAAAATAGATGTATTTTGTCTAGCAACTGGAGAGGAAGATTTAAATTCCTCATAAAGGCTTTCAGAACCGAACGTTAGAACCATATGACTTTTAATAAGTGAGACTATTCAGGTACATGTTTGAATTTAATGTCTTTCCTATACTCAAAACTCGATTCCTGCCAAAACATCTTTTAAAATTTTGGCGGATATTTATGAATATAAACGACTATGTACTTCTTGATTGTCATAATTGAAATGTTGGTAATCATTAATGGAATACCTCATGCTGAAAACCTGAAATTAGATCCGATGATCACAGAGTATGCTTTTTATTCATTTTACGACGATGTGCAATCACTTTCCGTAAAGTCAGTATAACTTCAGGAGGAACTGGAAATACCCATAGTTCTGCTATTTGAAAGAGCTTATTTTTCATCATTAAAGCACTATACATGACTGTAGGATTATTTGATCTTTTCATAAAGTCATCAACTTTTACAGAATCAACTAAATGAAACACATAACTTGGCTTTCTATGAATAGTGAAGCATATTTGCTTTTGAAAAATGTAACAGAGAGAATATAACAGAATAGTATAAATTCCTTTTATTTGGTCAAGTTCTCATCAGTTGCTTTTAAACATTATTATTGTTAAATAGAAATTATGATGAGAACCTAATCAAATAAAATGAGTTCATGCTATTCTGCTCAATTCTTTGTTGTTGCTATTTACATCGCAGTACAGAGAATAAAGCCCGTTATATTTGTTAGTGACTGGTAGATTTATGCATTAGTTTTATTCGTCTACTTTCAAAAGTTTTAGTGAACTAAAACACTTCTGCTATTTCTCCGGTTTCTCAAATTTTTGATGAAATCCGGCAGCGATCGTAGCTAAGTCACAATGTTTCCAATAAAATCAGCTGTAATTTCTTCAAGCATGATCATCATCTTTACACTTAATTAATTCATTTTATATTTCTGCGCTCAGTATATCACTGAATATGTTTTTGATGCTATATTTGTGCCAGTTATATTTTATACATAATTATGCCCATACAGTGACTAAAGGCATTTCTATTGACAATCTTATTGACTTATTATTCGCTTTTCATTCTTTTTAAAGATATTTGAAATGGTCGATGCAAAAGCGCGCAAAGATTGCATCAAAGAAATTGACCTATTGAAAGTGAGTTACAGTTGACTTTTACATGGTTTATCAGAAACACAATTAAAATGCAATCTTGGTTTAAGAAAAAAACTACTTCTCTATGTGGTTGTATGTAGTGAGGTTATGCGGCGGCTTATAGTAATCTGAATAAGTAATCAGTCGTTCAGGACAACAGTAATATTCAGATAGTATAAATCCTAATAGTTCTACATATTCGTTTTCCTACTGATATTTTGTCATAGACGCCTGTTACCCCGAATGGAGCATAGGTTGCCAACCAGCATTCCCAAACCTACTATTTTCTGGATATTTCTTTCCACTTCTGCTCATCTGTTGTTCATCCTTCTTATGTCTGCCCACAATTATCGGGGTAATGTGTTCTTTTGTCTTCTCCTTGGGCCTTGAAGATTCTGAGTGATGGTTTTCCTTGTGATGGAGTCGGGTTATTTCGGCAACGTATGTCCTATCCTCCTCCAGATCTGCTTTCTAATTTTTTTTCCTCTTATGGAATCTGGTTTGTTATATCCCACATTAAGTTATTGCTGATGGTGTCTGACCAAGGGATCCTATTAATAAACACTTTTATCTTGTGGATGATGGCCTTCATGGGTCCCCAAGTTTCTGCCCCATTAAGTTGGGCTGCTTTGTCATTTATATTGAAAATTCTGACTTTGGTGTTTGTAGATAGTTGTTTTAATTTTCAGATGTTCTTCTGTCGTAGAAATGCTGCTCTTGATTTTCCGACTCACGCCTTCATATCTACATCAGATCTACCCTATTTATCTATGATGCTACCCAGATATCGTTGAGTTCTTTGATATTCCGAAGAAAGGCCATATTAAGTTTCTGTAATGCTATTTGCTCAGTGTTATTTTAGCTTCAGTTTCATCTTGGCTACCACCAGATGTTATTCATAAGCTACGTCAGCTCCTCTCTTTGTTCTTACGTCCTCCATAGTCCTTTTGAACTTTTTGTGAATGCAGATGTGACCGACTTGGTTTTATGTAGTGTGATACGGCAAAATCTATGTATACTTGTTGATACATTGCGCTACCTACAACAATCTTGTTAAGGGTACATTGATTCACAAATCCGTAACTCTTTTTGCTCCTTTCTCTCAGTCCATGTCTCTCCATGATGGTTTCATATCAGGTATTGTACATTCCAAACTTGGCGTTTAGGTCTACCATAAGAATGGTGAACTCTTTTGTTGAGCACTTCTCCAAAATTGATCTACATCGTCCTCATCTTTACCGATGGTGGCCACATAGCATTGGATGACATTCACTGTAATACCCTCTTTCTGTTTTTTAAAGGACGCTTCACTGATCATGGGTCCATGAGATTCCTATTCTATAAGTGCCTTTTGTGCTTGTTTGGACAGCGTCAGTGCAACTCCTAGCGTATGTGAGACATTTTCTTCTTCATAGCCGGAGTACCGTAGCATCTCTTCTGAAGCTAGTCATTGTGGTCCAACCTGCACCCAATGTGTCTCACCCGTTCCAAGCACTTTCAGGTTGTATCTTTTCGTTTGTGCATATTGTACGAACATTCGACGTACTTAAATTAATGGTTACTGTGGTTGTGAGAAGGGGCATCAGTTTCGTGACTTTCGAAGAAACTCGGCTTTTATCATGAGACGTCATAACACTCCTAAATGAATTCGTTCGAACTGATACGGTGGAGTTGAATTGATTTGAATTATTTTGTTCTGGTTAGTGATTTTTTAGCTAGTTCGTTTTCTTGGGGGTTAAGGTCGCAAGAAGACAATACTTTCAACATAAATTTCACATTACAATTACTTAAATTTCGATTGGTAAATTTTTGTATACTAATTTACACGTTTCGAAAACCTGTATATCACAGCAGCACAATAAAACAGTCAGCTGATTTCCATTTAGTCTTATACTGTTTTCTGTATGCTTCAAACTTCAGTAAACTATTCGTACAAACATGATAACCTAACACAATACTTCTCCTTCACAGAAAAGTGATATTCATTTTCTGAATATTGTTTTATTTTTGAAGATACTACTACTATTGTAAAACTTTATATGGACTTATGGTTAACGGTAGTTCCGAAATGTGCAATGAAAATATCAACAGTGAATTAAATTAACTCTTTTAAATTATCATGAAAAGAATTTAATTTAATTTAAACGCATAATTTCTATGACTATCATCTCATTAATATTCTATCTACTTAAATGAAAGGAATATATATTATCTATATTAGTCATTGATAATAATTTTTAACTTGTTGTTTTTGTGTAATAAATTTTCGTTCTCATAGTGATCAATCAAGTTAACAATTGTTTACATTTGTTTGTTTATTTAATGCAGGACGATATAAATTAAAAATAATATTATAACCAAATAGAATTTATAGGTAAATCTTCTTAACACCTAACCTAACCGAAATATTTCATGTTTGTTTGAAAATTTTTACCGATTACAACTTATGCCTTACAATGAATGAACATAGAATGTGTTCATTCATATTAATGTCATTTTTACACTGAACTTGGGCATTGTTCGAAGAATATTGAACCAAACGCCATCGATACATACCTAAGGTTTTTTTAGCCGTTCATGCATTCTTCTTAGAGTGAAAATTTTTATATAAGGTGGGGCTTATTATCATTTCACTAACTGTATAGCAAATTTCATAGTTTTACGTCTCTGTGTTTTGTTATTAGTGACTAGTGGAAGCAGTATTAATTAAGCATTTATGAGTATTACAATTGACCTACTGATATACATATGTATATATATATATCGATTATTACATAATTTGATGTATTGTTTAACAAGAAATTAGATCATCCAAATGTCATTCGTTATTTGGCCTCTTTTGTGGAGAATAATGAATTAATCATTGTTTTAGAACTGGCAGATGCGGGTGACCTGTCTCACATGATTAAGGTAATTAAATTTTCATTGAAAATTATTGCATTTTGTATTGTATTCCGCTGGATTATTGATTAATCGATGAAATTATAAAGAACCTCAAACATTTCTGCATTCAAATACAAGTAGAATATTCTCAATAGATTGGCGAGTATTATGTCTAAGAGTAGTTCTGTTATTAAAAGCTAAATGTTGTTTCACAAACAAGAAATTTAACAACCTAGTCCGTTTGTAAGTTCTCTGAAACCTGTGTAGGCTTCAATCAATGTGGAATGTTCGTCTGACTGTCCTCGTAATTAACTACTTACAAACCTTAAATTTTGGTTTGTTTCCTCCGTAAGGTAACTAATTTATTTTAAAATAAAAATTAATTGAAATGTTAGCGAGAAAAGTGTTGTTTAAGTCTTCTTAAGGATACTTGATCATATTTAAACCAGGATAATACAAAGTGATCGTTACATTTCCAAGTAATTTTTTTATTGAAAATCCTATTAAAAAGTTATCATTATAATCAATTATCTTTTAAATGCATCTTCTCTGTCGAGTTTCATGCTACTAACTAACATCTATATCAAGTAAGAGATTTGGATTTGTAAATATTATTCACATTATCCTAGTTTACGTACGCTGTGTCTTTCGGTAGAACAATTTAAGCTACTATTCTTTTGTAAAGTAATTCATTCTAAATTGATAATGTAAAACAACGATTTGGTGATATAATTTTTGTCAGTTTACAAATCAGACTTTATGTAAAGTCTTATATAAATATAAATATATATATATATATATATATATATATATATATATATATATATATCAATAGCTAGATTGATGCTTATAGTCTAAAACAATAAAATAAGTTCATTTGGAAGCTATAAACTGAAATTATTAAGTAAATTAACTTAAAAAGTCGATTCAGGTGAACTTTCGATTGATGCGCAAACAACATCTTAGATTTGATTAAACAGATATTGATCTACCAGACTGACATACTCACTGAATAATATGAGTGTGAATGACTAAAAACACCTGATTTATTATTATTGTAATAAGAGTTTTCTTTTATTTAAACTTATCAAACCCGTATTAAGTAAGATTTATCAACTGTCTTCATTAAATAGATGAGTTTTTAAGGTTATATCGTGTCATTGTCAATATTTATCAGTTTAGTAGATAACGTTGTAAATTAGTGTGATGCTACTATTGTTAAGTCCAGCCACCTTGGTTGTTTATAATCAATGGATGTAGAAATTTCAATTTTGAAATATTTATCCGTTTGTGAATGATTGTTTAAATTTCAGTGCAACCTTAATATTCATGTTTTGTATCTTCACTATTGAATGATTTGGTAGAAAACGTTTTTGCATGTCATTCTTTTAATGAACTCATTCAAATCATCATAAATTCATATAAATAACAACATAATTACATTTAAACTTTTTTGAATATTTTTTTTATTTCTTTTCTAAGCATTTTAGAAAGAAGAAACGATTAATTCCTGAGAAAACTATATGGAAATATTTTGTTCAGATTAGTAGTGGACTGGATCATATGCATTCGAAACGTATCATGCATCGAGGTATGTAAATATTTACGTGATTTTAGCCAACGTTTTAGGTTACTCATTGTTAGTTTGAAATTAAGGTTTTATTAAATAAAGACAAACAAGTTCATTGTACAGTAAACTTAATTTCGTGAATACAATTTTTTCAAGTCTTTTTATGTTAAAAATAGGTAAAAGAACTTAAATACCACTGTCAGATTTAAGTGTTCCTCATGTTGAATAATTTTTGGTAATCGTTTTATAGCTAAATCACTGTTACGTTAAAGTTTAAACATCCGTTTATTTGTCAGTGTACTCTTTTGTACGTTACTTACTTTTACACCAAATTAATTATTCCACTTTCCAAAATATTTCAAGCTTTGTTATTATTTGCTCTTACCTACCAACCTACTTAACTGTGTTCATTCTAAACAGGGAGTGACATTATTATTACTGATTTCGGTGGTGTTTCGTTCTTGGAGCTCAAATATCATCACTGAGCTCCATTTTTATGTCTTATTCCTTAGTACTACCAGTTAATTTTTGTGATTGGGCATTAAAAATTAAAGATTTAAATAAAGTTTTTTATATGGGTACAGTAATTTGTATGTCAAATAACAGGTATTAACTTAACTCGGATAGCGAATAGGCCTGATAACATTATTAATCAGAGTTTGTGTTATACTCATTTCGAAGTCTGCTTAAAACTATTACGAGTTCACCTTAGTCGAATAACGTGAACAAAACAATGAACCAGCGTCCAGGTAGGCTACTCTGATCTGATTGTCCCGATTGTACCAGCACGAAGTCTTGATACAACGTAGAAATTGTATTCTACAAACACCCAGCAAGCACACAATGAATCCAAGCACACAAATTGCGTTTATTTATACTCCATAGAGACGTCCTTGGGAGAGTCGCAAAAATAGCACACTAAAACAACACAGTAACCAATCACAGCCAAGGATTTTCCTGATGTGAAATGTGACCTCAGGGTCAACTAATCAACCCACGAAATAAATCCAAAACAAAGATATTTATCAAGCAAGTTCTAGAGATCTAACCTCTCCAACAGTTTGTTTTCTTATTCAACTATTCACAAAGTTGCATAAATACTGCAGAATGATGATTCTAAGAATCATAAATCTATCAAATCTACTTAAAAAGATAACAAATGAATTTAGCATGTATATATATAGTTTAACAATTGTTAGACTGTGTTTTCACCAAAGTGAAAAGTTAACAATGAATGATCATTTGATGAATGAATAATATAAAAGGATAGAAATGTTTACTTTATATACATATACACCTTATATTATTCTTAACATGTTACTGGGAAAAATTATCAGGGTCATTAACACATATAAAAAAACAAAACACACTTCAGTTATACTACTTACATTCATTCACCCATCATCTTTTGTTATTCTTTAACTAAATAAACAACAGTTGTTTAAATTTAAGAAGAAAGAAAAAAAATTTTTTTATTTCATTTTATTTGTTTTCACAAAATATAAAAAATATTCTTCAGTCACAATTGTTTATTAATTAATGTGTTGTTGTTTTTCTTTTTCTCTAAGTATTTCTATTTGCATAACATTGTTGACAATGATGATTCTTTGAATTTTTCTCCACATAATTTTTCGTATTTCATATTCAATAAACAATAATATACAATAGAATTGTATAAGTGTAAGAAAAATTATCCATTGAACACGAGGTCATTTATTTCAATGTACAATGTACAATGAATGGGGGTTTTGTTTTCATGTTTGTTGCTTTAGTAACGGCATATTGGGTATCGGCATTGACAATAAATAATAGTAATAATAATAATAACAAGAATAATATCTATCAAATAAGGAATGATGTTAGTGAATTAGCATAATTAATACCAATCCTCTTAGAACAACAGAAAACAAACAAACAAGGAAAATATATACGATGAATAAGTAAATACACAACTGTACTTTCTCTATTTTAGAAAAAAAGAAAAAGAAAACTTGTTCAATGGTACTTGTTTTCACTTGTTTTGTATGTAATTTGATCTACATAGTTTGTGTATAAGCCAAAACACCAATGTTATGCAAAACAAGTATTTCTGAAAAAAATAATTAAAAACGATCACAACAATCCCCTTTATTAATTAACTGTTACACTTGAGTCCTATTTTCAAGGTAGATTAAATGAAAGGTCTCTTTTTAATGATTTAATAGTTGAAAGTGTTGGGAATGTTAGATCCCTAGAATTCGCTTGATAAATAAATGCCTTATTTTGGATTTCACGTTTGCGAGCATGGGCTGATCAGTTGACCTTGAGATTTCATTTCCCACCAAGGAAAATCCTTGGTTGTGATTGGCTGCTGTGTATTTTGGTGTGCTATTTTTGTGACTGTTCCAAGGACCTTTCTATGATATATAAATAAACAAGAGCTGTGTGCTTGATTGTATTGTGATTGCTGGGTGTTTGTAGAATATACTTTCTACGCTTAAAAAGACTTTTGTTACAGCTTGGGATTCAAGGTAGCCTATCTGGACGCTGGTAATTGTCTCGTTCGCGTTTATCGACTAAGGTGAGCTCGTAATAGCTTCAAGCGTACCTAGTGACGAATTTAACAGAAAGCGATTCGAGAAAACAAGAACGGAACATTTAACAAGTTTAGTACTGACAGTTTTTTCTATGAATTCGAAATACTAATATAGCAAGTGATTCAGTTTATTTATGGAGAAATGTTTGATTTTACTGATACAGTCTGTTACATACATTTATGTGTTTATTAGATATCAAGCCTGCCAATGTATTTATCAATGTTAAAGGCCAAGTGAAACTAGGAGATCTTGGATTGGGAAGATATTTTAGTTCAAAGACTATGGCAGCTCATTCCTTAGGTAAGTCATGTTTTATCCCTTATATTCTTCATAAGAATTATGTACTAAATGACTGAAAATTAAAAAAAATATAGTTTGGATTAATACTGGACTATAAATAATATTATTACGAAATATTATGATGATACATTTTAGTTATATTTATTATCTAAAGTAAATATGAGATAATCAGCTTTTGTTACGGTTGTCACTTGCTATGCTTGAAAATATTACGGGTTCACCTTAGTCGATAAACGAGAACGAGACAATGAATCTGTGTCCGGGTAGGCTATTGTGATCCGTTGACTCGAAGGCAGTACCAAAAAGTCTTTATATAGCGTAGAATGTGTATTCTACAAACACACAGCAAGCACAATGATCTCAAGCACACTAATCGCGTTTATTTATACATCATAGAAACGTCCTTGGGGCAGTCACAAAAACAGTACACTAAAATACACAACAGCCAATCACAGCCAAGGATTTTCCTGGTAGGAAATGTGATCTCAAGGTCAACTGATCAGCCCATGAAATAAATCCAAAATAGAGATATTTATCAAGCGATTTATAGAGATCTAACATCCTCAGCAGCTATAAATTTCATTAGATTTGAAAAATAATGTTGACAATTGAACATTTTGTCAACTAGTATATTCTTTTTTAAGAAAACCAATAATTATTGTAGATTTTATATTATAACTAGTAAGATATCACAGATAATTACTACATTTCAAGTCGTTTGATCAAATTGAAACTCGGTTTAGAAGTGAACATCTTTCACTTGTTGACAGTTGTTTGCTTCTTCTCAGTTTCCCAAGTTAATGGAACACTTTCAAATACCAGAATTCATTATTGTTGTTTTCACCATCATCTCAAACTGACTTTAGAAACTAACTACTCAACATTATAGTCCTCTATGATTGAAATATCTTATTACATCATTGCTTACAAGAATTTGTAAATACATTTGTTTTTATCTAAAATACATGTCAATCATTTTGTGAATTCTAAGTAATTGTTATCTGGTTTGAAATTGACACTTTGTGCATTGCTAATCAGTTAGCATAAAGAAATAATTTTTGGTACGATTTTCAAATTCTCTGTATATGTGATGTGGTTTTGGTTATTTCTTTTTTCTGTATTTTGAAAGTTGAAGATAAGATTAGTTAATTGGTATTATTTCCAAATGAAATATAATGAAATTCTTTATACTTCACTGAATTTCGCCTATTTCTTTGTCTTCTCCCCTGTACTCACTACCTTCTACTCAATATGATGATCATGAAGGGATTAGTTAATTAGATGGATGAAATTAAGTGAAGCATACAACTTGGAATAGAATATTACAAATTATTAATTATTTAGCAGTCAACTACCTTTCACTAACTCAAATCTATGCATTTTTCCAGTTTTGTTTTTTTTGGTTATAACTGTTGGCTTAGCAGTATACATACAATAATAATAAAAATAATGTTTTGATGAAATCTACAAAACTCTCCTCTTTTTGATTTGATTGAGAAGAATGTAAAAAATACCAAAATGAGTGTACTACAGTGTACAAATCAAGAGACTTTTATTACTGAAATTAAATAAAGCTACTAGTTTTATAGAGTTGCTTTCTCTAAAGAATAGAAAAAGAAAGACTACTGAATATAATGGATGAAGCGGTATAGATTGACAGATTGTTGTTTTAAAGTAACTAAAACTAACTTACAATCATTCATAATATTGGAAAAACCACTTATCTCTACTTATTTCTTCAATTGGTTGGTGGAAATAAAAATTCTTTACTTTATGTTTTTCACAATGTATGAGTGTTATAGATAAAGTTGTGGAAAGCAAAGAATCTTTTGTTTAGTCTGATAGACTAATCCTTAAACTATACCCAATGCATTGCTCAGTTGTGTAAAACTGTACATAACACTTCGGTCATATTATCAGTAATCAAGAATGTGCATTTCTGTATTATTGCTAATTTGGATATGTCCGTACGAAAAATTCTGGTTAATGGAAACGTGTAAAACAGAGAGGCTACTTTCATTTGGTAACTGCTCTGTCTTAAACCTAACTAACTAGTAGTACGGTCAAGAATAGACTAGTTCTGCTCATTATAACCCTAGTACAGGAAGTTACATTTGTTTCTCCTATAAACAATCATAGATAATGTAAATATAAAATAGTTTTAAACTGACTTGTCAGTTTATCTAATGAGAAACTATTTTCCATTTGTTACTACAGTTGGTACACCATATTACATGTCACCAGAACGAATACATGAACAAGGCTACGATTTTGCATCCGATATATGGTCACTTGGTTGCTTACTATATGAAATGGCTGCATTGCAATCACCTTTTTATGGTGAAAAGATGAATTTATTTCGTTTATGCCAAAAAATTGAAAATGGTGATTATGCGCCATTACCGAAAGAAATTTATTCAGCTGAGGTTAGTTTATTTCGATGAGTTGCTTGCATATACCACTACCATATCATCACTTCACAGGCAAGAACGTTTCTCATTGAGTCCGTATTACTTCATGTTATGTTTTCATCCAAGTGAATTGAGATTAAATCACGAACTATGTGTACAGGCTAAGTTCAGGTCACTTTTACACTTGTCATTAAGTTCTTCGATGATCTGTTCACATTTGGTATGAAGATTTTTTAGTTTCAGGTCAGTATAGGGTCAAATGATAGTAGGTGAATGAACACGCTTCACTTCTACACAATGCTCTAGTTTCCTCGTTCTGGTTGCAATAGCTTCATAAGTTTCTAGAAGAAAACAATTTAGGGGCTATGTGAGATGATTTCTTCACGTCCTAGTTATTAAATGCAATTCCCAAAGATTTAATTGTGACAAGTGTTAATTAATCAAACTACACAATAACCAGTAAGGGTGATTTCTTATCAACCATCATTTGATGTCAGAAAGATTCCCAGTGCTTATATAGTTGAAAAATGGTTCTCACCAAAGAATGACATATCTTGAAGATCTGTTTAAAACCGAAAGACAGCAGACTGCTAGTTTACCCACATTCAAGAATGCCCAGAGATGATTGCTTTCAAATTCTTCATAGAGTAAACCAAGAATCTTCATGCTCGATCTAGGATGATATACTGAAAATAGTGATTGATATTTTATAGTCATTAATGAATATCATTCACCACTCTGACATGTTTGAACTTTATTGAACACTCTCACTTGCTAGACCATTCTATAATATTCAACTTTTGAATATTTCTAAGATAAAATTTAAAAAAAGAGATGGATTTTATACATTTTTAGTCTTTCAATGACTGGATTTACTTATTCAAGTGGGCCATGAATAGTTTGTAAGAACTATAGTATTAAATGAAACATTTTGTTGTTGAAAATATGAGTTTCCTCAAAATTCGTTCTTAATCAGAACTGTAATCCTTATTTGTATTCTTACTTTGTTTGCTAACAAATAATATTTACAGATGATCATTAGCATAGATTGAAATAAGGTGAAAAGAAAACAATTCTCAGTGAAAAGCTACTTAACATTATTAAAACGGCTTGTACAAAGTTGTTTTTATATATTTTAAGAGCCTTATAAATTAAGTTGATTGCCTGATTAATTAATAGAAACTGTATCTGTTTTTCTTGATTCTAACTAAAACTCTGTAATTCACTGTATTTTCAGCTTCGTGAATTAGTTACCATTTGTATACAAAAAGAACCATCGAATCGACCAACTATTACACATATTTATAATATAGCTAAAGAAATGAATGAATTACTCAATGGGAAAATTTCAACCTCTCCTTCATGCTCCTCCTCCTCCTCCTCTCAACTGGAACATCATCGACCATCATCGGCCATTATGAAATCATTCTCTTCCTCCTCGCTATCGTCTACAACCAATACACCATTGATTAGGAATAATACAAAAGATAATTTAAAATTGTGATAGATAAATGCCATTTGAGCAAATAGATACTGTGTACTGACTGTCTTTCAATGATTTCTTGAAGCTGATGACAATAACACCCCAGTAATAACAGTAATACTAATTGAAAATGCACATGAAAGTTCTTTTTTTTCATTCTAAACATAGCATAAAAGAAAAGAATAAGAGGAATTTGTCTAACTGCTGATCACAATATATACATACATACCTATATAGAGTTGCACAATCTACAAGTTATTTTTTAAAACACTCTCATACTACTGAATTTCGTAATATTGTGCTGATTCAAAGTTTATCAAAGAGAAAAACATTTTCCTTAACTTTTCCTTCCTTGCTTTTTTTTATATATTTTGTATTAAATAGTAGTATGTTTAGTTTTGTATAGAAAATAAAAATTATTATTATTATCATTATTAATTATGAAGCCCAATTTGAACAGTTTTCATTGATTTATTGTTATTATTTATTGTTAATTGTACACTGCATTATTAAAATTATTATGCTATAAATAATACAATTTGTTTTTCGCACCTGTGAAGAATACATTTACCTTTAATTATGGACATGTGTATCTATGTACTACAAACTTTCATAATACTTTAATTATGGACTACTGCTGTATCTATCCCCTTTCGGAGAGATTTTAATGATAAATAATGATTGTTGCCAGCATTATCCCAGTATATTTTGTTAAATATTTCATTATTATTCGACTAATATTGTGTTACATTGGTTAGATTTAGAAAATACAACCTACTTTCTTTTTTTTTTTTAAACTCAACTTATATTATGTCGTGTAGTAAGTAGAAACTGCTTCTTTTTTATTCAAATTAATAATGACCAACCTCGATAAATATTGTCATACTAGCTCAGTAAAAAAAGTTGATTGAATAGTGTTCATTGAGAGATGATCAATAACTGCTTTTATTTTTACATTGTTTACTGTGAACTTATGCAACAATCTGTAAAATTATGCTTTTTTTTATCTTATATTTTTTAGTTTCAAGTAAATATTGTTCTAAAAACGGTAGTTTTTAAATTACACTTACGGAGGTGGACCTAATTTTATAAATTACAACTATCTGTATTCATATTGACAACTCATACTTCTTAAAAAACCATGAATTGATCAATGTTAGACCACCATTAGGAACCTGGACGGCCATTTCGTCCTGGTATGTGACTCCTCAGCAGTAGGCATCCACGACTCCTGCACCCCACAGGATTCGAACCCAGGACCTTCGGTTTCAAAAGTGTATGACTTAACAATCTTCACAACCCCGTAATGCAATTATCTGTGCTCACTAGTGACTAGCTTCGTGAGGAATCTTCTCCGAGTTCCAGTGGGAAGGCGTGACCAGTGAAGTTCAACCTGTTCGGGAGTAGACAGAACTACCGAACACTGTGTATGAGGTTGCGCAACTCTGTGAATTGATCAAGTTAGATATTAACACCATTAGATACCGGCTCAGTGGTCCGATGGTTAGGCGTTCGCGCACAATACCGAAGGTCCTTGGTTCGAATCCTGTGGGGTGCAGGAGTCGTGGATGCGCACTGCCACTGATGAGTCCCATACCAGGACGAAACGGCCGTCCAGTGCTTCCAGGTTTCTAATGGTGGTCTAACATTGATTGATTCATGGCTTCAAAAATATGTAACTTAACAATCTTCACAACCCCGTTATGCAACTCATACTTCATTGAGAATCCGTTTCATGGAAATAATATGTTAAGAGATCAAGTATATTTTATTATTTTAGAAGAATGATTGAAAAATTATTTTAAAAACGGACAGAAACCTTAGTTCACAAATACAGAAGCTAGTTTTGAGTGCTTTTGCATCACGTAATATTAAATGCTAAACAGATAAATCAATCAGCGGTTTTTCTTCACCGATAAAAGTTATAATAGTTGAGCTAAACTGTAATAAGATAAAACCATTCTCCAATAGTCTACCAACACACAATCTATGCCTAATGGAAGTTTCCTCTTGAAATATACTAGATAGGCAACGAAAACCATATATATTGGGGAGAATGAGATGGGATTCAATTTAAAAATTAAACAGATTCACAACAGTTAGATTATTTTACCAATGAATTTAACTTCGAATGTAGTTTGAAATCTGAAGAAATGTACTGTGTCCACCAATAAGCTGTTTGGAATGTAAATATAATTAAGAATAAAGTCTTTAACAATGTTTAACGTATAACTTGACCACATGATATAACAAAAAATGCAACAGATCTCGGGACTGAAAGTACACAAGAGGTAAACTCACCAAATTTTGACTGTAATTCATTGAAGAAAATTCAAGAAAAATCGTCATCATAACACTCCAGCAGCTAAGGTAGACAACAGTTTACTGTTGCTTCTTGCCGAGTGCAACAGTAAAGTATCAGTCTTCTAATTACACTGAATTCTGTATTGTTGAACAGTATAGAGTTTCATTTTTATTTATCGACTAAATATTATTTCAAATTATGTTGATCATTCGAAAGAACTTAATTCATTTAGCTTGTATTTAGTTGAGCAGTAAAAAGCAGAATACAGGGAGTTCAATGTAAAATATATCGTTCTCATATTATTTCATTGACAAACATATTAGGAAGAGTAAGATAAACATTGTTACTGACATTGTCAATATATTTTACATTTAGTAATAATTGAATGCTCGATATATGACTGACAGTCTTGTGTCAGTGTACAGTATGTTATGTAGATAGAATCATGACTGATCGAACTCTACACTTACATCAATCAACCAATCCCGAATAATCACGAAATAGCTCAGTGGGAAATATATTTTACATAAGTCGAATATATATATATATATATATATATATATATATATATATATGATGTTACTTTCATAAAGTCAGTGTATAACGTTTCCAATACATATTCACTGTGTAAATGATTTAAAACTGATCTCTATTCGGAAATCGTATGTCGTCTACCCGAATATCAACTGACCAATACAACTTTATTTCAATCGAACAACACCACTTATTTCAGAAATCGGATTCAAAACTTTATTTGATCAACCAAAAAGGTGTTCACTATGGAAGTTAGTAATGTAAACAAAAAAGTCATCTTTTTGCCAGTTGATGCCAGTGATCATTCTATACGAGCGTTTCAATGGTATCTCGATAATTTAAGAGGGAAAAATGATGAATTACACTTTGTACACGTGATTAAACCAATATTTACAACACCAACAATTGAACTCGCAATGACCTCTTCATTAATCAATAATATTATGCAGTCAACACGAGAGAATATTGAAAATGGAAAGAAACTTTTACAAAGCTATCTGATAAAAGCAAAGAATTGCGGTATTCCTTGTCAAGCATTTGTTCATGTGGATGCTAAACCTGGAAAAAGTTTGATAAAACTAGCTGAAGAACACAAAGTGGATATTATAATCATGGGATCCAGAGGATCCGGTGTGATTTGCCGCACATTACTAGGCAGTATTACAAACTATCTAATGCATCATGCGAAAAATCCACTAGTAATTATACCTCCTCCAGTAAAATAATTAGTGTTTATGGTATTAGTTATGCTTAATGACTCAGGATACTTTCTATTATATTGAGATAAATTTTCTGTATGCTAAATAAATACTGATAATAACTTAATCCTTTCAGTTTTAAGTCTTCACAAGTTCTACCTTTTGACATACTAAATGTTCTGGATGTTAGATCCCTAGAACTCACTTGATAGAGGTCATAATTTTGGATTTTATTTTTTCGCGCATGTGCTGATCAGTCTACCTTAAGATTACCTTTCCCACCCATAAAAACCCTGACTGTTATTGGTTGATGTGTTATATTAATACGCTATTTTTGTGGCTCTCCCAAGGACGTTTCTATCATGTATCAATAAACTCGATTTGTGTGTTTATCAACCTTATATTTTATGGGTTCTTATAGAATACACTTTCTACGCAATATCAAGACTTCTTCCTCTACTTAGTGGGGCTTTGGGACGTTCGGATTAGATTAGCCTATCGTGTTACTAGATCATTTATCTTCGCTCTCGTTTACCTGCTAAGGTGAGCTCGTAATAGTTCAAGCATTTCAACACACCAGCATAATACCAAATTACTTCCTTTAGTGTGAAAATAAAAGATGTTTTTCAATACCACAATAAATGCAATTCCATTTAAACTAACATTAGCATTTGCTAAACAGAAAGACTCATACATTTATTTGTATAACGAATTCTGGTATCGTATCGACATTGGCTTAGCTGATTCAGTTTTGATACATGATTATTTAAATGAAGTAAACCATAGAAATATACATCAATTTGTTGAACAAATAATCTATATGTACTATAAAATTGCTAACCTATTAGTCGGGTTTAAAGAACTACATGTTTGAACAACATGATTAAGTAGCTTGGTTTATATTGATAATTATTTGTCAATGTGTATTTGTTTGTTTGTTTTTTTACAGTAAGCATTCAACCAAGAAATATTTTTGTTTTAATGACATTCTTATCGATAATTAAATGTTTAAATGATAGTTTTTAGTATATTTCTATAAACCAGTTATTTCCCTGTACTAATATAGTTGTATAATATACTAACAAACTGTTGATTTTTTAATTTTCTTGTATTACTAAAAATTATTAACTTTAGAGTCTTCAGTACACTGAAAGACAAGCATAGACTGTATCGTTTCCATTTAGCTTAACAGAATAGATTGGTTAATTCATAGCAAAGAGAAAGACATATATGTATATATATATTTATGTGTACTAGGCTAACAACTCCGCCTGTGGTCCTTATAGGGTTACTGCCTGTCCCAAACTCGGATCTAGGAGAAGGGTTGAGCATGGAGTTAGCGACCACACCCCAAAGAAAATCAGCTCGCTTAAAAAACACTAACCAGGAAAAGTAGATTATCATTAAACTATTTTGATTGAACATTTATCACAGAGTTGTCTGTCAATCAAACGAAGTATCAGTTCCAAAACAAAATACCTAATCACAGGTGACATCATTTTAGAGTTTCAGAATACCTAAGATAACAGGTATAATTCTTTTAATCGTAGATTTATCGTTAATAAGCAGCGTGTAAAAACTGTACATGAGCAAAGAAAGTCGTCTGAAAATAATGTCATGATAGTTTCAAAATTAATAAATACCACATTTTTCGGTTAGAAGGCACATTAATCAGTTTATTTACTAGTTGTACAGCAAGGTGTTTCATGACACTTTGATCAGAATTAATTAACTATTATTATTATCTTTTATGCCTGTAGTACATTGAATAGAAAGAGAACCACTTTAACTGAATTAGCGTTACCCAAAAATAATGTGACTCATATGAAGGTATCTTATAATGCTCACATTTGTAATGAATTTTGCATTTCTTAGTACTGATTAAGCACAGCATTTAGGATCTAGTAATTTCTTTTAGCAAGATGACTGGGAATTCGTCTTTTCGGGAAAGAAATAGTGTTTTTCACTGGTGAACTGCAATATTAATGTTGGTTTAAGGAGAGAGAGAGTGAACTTTCGATTTTTAATATTCACTGTAGTAATTAATGGAGTTGATAATCCGTAATAATGTTACTGGATTGAAATTGAAAAATCCGCCACTATAGTAATGAGAAACGATTGACGATTCTATGCACTGGATTGCATTGCTACATGTAAACGGTAATTCATCAAGCACTTTGAAGAGGTTGACTAGATTTTTTTTAAGACACTGCTTCCTCAAAGGACTGAATACAACCCATGAATACGAAGAAATGTGAGCAAGCAAAACAAATCCAATCTTTATTGTCAACACCACTGGAATAAAAGTACAATATTCTAGTTCTGATTGAACACACTTATTTCAATAAAATAAACTAGTCGTTGTTACCGAGGTAACGTGTTATGCAACGTTGAATACCAGTATTGTAACTATTCAGATGGACACATCTACGTCCCACATCTGTTTACTCTTCAGAAACACGGTAAAGAAAAAGAATCTGCATATTCTCTTTAAATGCATAATATCAATCTAATCCTCTGGGCGCCTATTATTTGGATTATGTATAAATATCTTATTTTCTCTACTTTAATTACCCACTGAATTGTGTTTGAGGTTACCACTTACATAAAGCCGTCCAGGTCAATCCATTAATCTGTATATACTTGTAAATTGTAGATATAATTATTCGGCTTTCGACAACAAAGTTTTTTGCATTATTTCAAGTCAAACGTTATAAACTTTCATTATTAACCGAATCAGATCACTCACGCTGTCCACCAAAAGTTTTCTAAAATTGCATCGAAAAAGTTCCCATTACAAATATTTCTGTTTATGATGATTATCTAATAAAATTAGGTGATGTGTACACCAAATAGGTTCTTTCTTCACTCAAATGTAATACAAACTAATATATAACCTTCATAGATGAACTAATTATGTGGATCTGTATAAAAATAATGAGTAGTTATCGGTTAAGAATATTTATTACTAGTGATACTGTGGTGCGCGCTACTTATAAGTAGTATATGACGCGAGTAAAAACGTAATGTCTGGCAGCTGAAGATGGGGGAAGATCAAGAAAGGAAGAGCGGGAACACAATGGGATTTGTATGAAATGCATGAACAGTAAAATGTCAGACAATGGATTGATGTTTTGTAACAGGAACGGTCCAGTTCGATATGATGGATTGATATTTTGCAAATTAACGATTTACGATATGGTTTTTCTATTTTACCAATTAACTCTAGATAATTACAATTCGGTTGCTCTCCCCTATGTTCTCCTTCACTACAATACCAGAAAAGATGCAACACTCATTAAAGTCAAAACCAACGAATAAGATAAATCCAATAGTCTTATGCCAACTTGTGGTGATACTGTTCACAAATCGACCATGTAATTAGCTTTAAAAAAATAACTATTTATGCCAAAAAAATTCCGAGAAAAAAAACATCACTTTATGCACAGTTCACAAGAACAATGGATTGAACCAACTTTAGGACACATATTAGTATAAATTATACATTAAAACATAGTATAATTACAGTCATTATTTATTTGTTGAAACAGAAATTCACTTTTTTTTAATCAATACGATCTATGATATATTGCTCATCAGAGTACAAATAAATATGTTACGCTTACCGTATGATCTAATGAGTTGAATTTTTCATGCAGGAAATACATTCTATACTTCTCGACAATATAATTTTATAAAAAGACCAAGATGGAATCCTTGATCATCAAATCAGCAGTGATCAATACCCATGTTATGCTATTTATTTACAGTAAGATTATAGTATTTTATAGAATATCTAGCCTTACATAGAAAGAACCAATGAATTACAATAGTATTCTCTAATTATCAAACGAAGCATAGAATTTATGATTACTTAATATCTACTGCAGGTAGTAATAATCAATAGGTTCAGAATTATGACGCCTACCTAATCAATCTTCTCCATCAAAATAGTATACCAATAGAACATAAGTATAGAGTAAGGTGGATATGAAGTTACCACGATACAAAAAAATCAAAAAATATGCCAAAAGTAATACTCAGTTTGTAGTTAGTGATCTCTTAGTGTAAATTTGAGAGCTTTATTGTTAGTAAAGACTGAGTAGGAACCGTGATCTATGCATTAACACAGGTGGTCTAACATTAATCGACTCATGATTTCAAATGAGTAACTTAACAATCTTCACAACCCCGTAATGCATATACCTGTGCTCACTATTGACTAGCTCCGTGGGGAATCTTCTCCGAGTTCCAGTTGGAAGTCGTGACCAGTGAAGTTCAACCTGTTCGGGTGTAGACAGTAACTGCCGAAGACAGTGTATGAGGTTGCGCAACTCTGCAAATTGACTGAAGTTAGAAATTAACACCGTTAGATACCGGCTCAGTGGTCCAGAGGTTAGGTGTTCGCACGCAGTACCGAAGGTCCTGGGTTCGAATACTGCGAGGTGCAGGAGTCGCGGGTGCGCACTGCTGATGAGTCCCTTACCAAGACGAAACGGCCGTCCAATGTTTCCAAGTTTCTAATTGTGGTGTAACACTGATCGACTCATGATTCCAAACGTTGACAGTTAGTGGGATATTTTGTTCGTTAATGACGAGAGCAATCTATAAACGATTTCCGTGAATGATATTCAGTCCACAGTCTATAGGTGATTAGATCCTAAGCCTTATTTATGATTAGATTTTTTTTTCTCAATTAAATTCTGTACTAACATTTACCACAAAAGCGTAACAAAATGTCACTTATTATACTATCAGTACAGTTTAACACTTCTTCATCCTAAAGATAGTTTCATTTTGATAATAGTAGTTTCTACCTTGAAATACATAGATGAATCATTAGGAACCTGAAAGCACTGAACGGCCGTTTCGTCCTGGTATGAAACTCATTCACGATTCCATAATAATCCAAAATGAAAAAGTTTAATTAATATTTGATTTAAGTACATTACTTTATGCAAATTATAATGTATATGTATGTTCTCTATCAATTCGGTTTTACAACGTAAAAAGCTAAAATTTAAGAAACAGAACTTATTTGTATCCAATCATCGGCAAAAATGTTCTCTGTTGATCAGACCATAACATATTGATTTTTTATGATAATAAAATTTAGGTTTATTCTGACAACCATTGACTACTTACTATTTCATTGAGTATATGTACCTAATTTTCTCCATCTATTTATAGTGAATACTACTTTACTAATCAGATAGTATACAACTTCCTTCTTAGAATTTATTTAAAATATACATACAAGTGAGGTATACTGTTTTTTTAAAGTCGATCGTTTTCAGGCTCTCTTCTAATATAAACAGATACACACAGAGATGCGCATACAAGGTAAAAAAAAAAGAAATAAGTTTTATAATAACAATAAAATGATTTGTTTGTAGTGGTAAGAAAATTCAAGACGGTATTTTAAAATAAGTAAATTTACAGTTGGTCAAAACTTTGAATATAAATAACTATATAAGAGTTTATTAGATATGTGGACAGCTATTTGTTTTTTGTATTGAACTCCTCAATAGTTCATACCGTTTATCGTTTTCAACAATACCACGACTGAGGTCAGCTATAAATTAAAGTAATCTGCATAAGATCCACTCAATACTATTTAAGCCGTACTCATATTGAGATAAGTTCGTGAATTTCTAGTTAAAATTAACGAGCAGAGTCCAACAGTTGTCACCAATGTTAATCAGTGATCGTAGTGATAAACTATGTGCTGACTGAAGTTTGAAGTGTTTATAATCGGATATCCATCCAGAAATCGCATAGATAGGTGCTGTCCACGATACTTAAATTCTATGAGTTAAATCTCTGAAAAGGTCGTGGGAATATTTTTGGAATGGTCTTTCATGTTAGATATCATTCAAGCAATGAAAGAAACTTTAACATCGAGTAAATTTACCAAGCTGAGATACCTAACCACACTTCTGAAAGTTAAACAACCTACTTTATTACTGCTCGTATTTAAAAAAAAAACACATTTCTCGAAAATACGATTGTCGTTGAATCCGATCAAGAGTTTATTAGATAAACATAACAAAATGGATTTTCGATGCAGTGAAAATAAGGGAATAAAATCACACCATTGAATAACTCATTCAAAGACATTTCTCATCCCAGTACATCAACCAATTAGTCTGATGATTATTTGTTCAGTGAAATAAACATAAGCATCTTAATTTCTAAAAAAACAATGTGATTTAATTTAATATTTGTATAGACTGGAATAGCTGACGTTCTTTTTGACTTTATACGATGTTAATTTTATCATATCTTCTAATTTATTTTCATTATCTAATCATTTCAATTGAAGAAAAGCTAATCTGCCTAATTGTTATCACTTCCTATGTATTTATCATATCATTAATTTGAATGGCTTTTCATTATATTTCTATTTGTTTATCTATTTTCTACATTGTGATGTATTTATTAATTGACATGTACAAGTGATGGCAACTGAGAAAACAGCATCTACACCCTTTAGCCGATATATTCCTTAAAATCTATATGTGAAAGGAAATAAGATAATGTAATGGACAGTCGATGAAATGTTGTGCGTCATGAAGGCGTTCCGAATAGTGAACAGGTGTGCGAAACTGAAACGTATATACGAAGAAAATATGGAAAACCTCTTTTTACTATGATAAAATAATGATAGGAATGAAACTTCATCAATGACATGATGCTTTCTAACTGTCCATGGCTATTTGCTGAATATGTTCACTTTACTGAGACTATCCAGTTTAGTTAAATTATTATTAGTTCATTGATTTCGCATAATATCTCTTAATTATTGGTTTGCTCCACTGCTCCATAGAACTTCATTTTCAACCAATAAATACTTATCAATATCAAACACTGTAGTTGATACCATAGGATGTGTAGTCTTCCAGTTCTTATGATTCGTTGCTTTGCTTCAAACACCAATATCAACTTAACTCAAGCATGTATATGTATAGTTTATAATAATATCACTACTCGTAATTCAACTCTTTGCAGCTGATGAGGACACAGCATTTTGCAAAGCTCATTTTGTTCTGTCTCCATAAAAATTTCATTTTTTTGTTCGATGTAGGTCATAGCTACTGAACATCATTCCATTGAATTTTACTGTACCATATTTTTTCTTCCTTCGTGGTCGAGTTCTTCATGTATTGCACATACATGGATTACTTTTGTTGTAAATTTGTGAAGGACATTCATTCAGTGCGAACATATCTATTTTAAACTCTTGATAGTAATCACAAAATCCGTAAGTTTTTAAAATCAAATATTATTTACAGAATGATAACACATACGTCGCTAACCGATTTCCTACGAACTGAGCTAACGAAGTACTGCAGAATGAGTTTCGATTTTTACCCAAACGCACTAGCGTACTAACGAAAGTTATGTACTAATATTGTTATCAGAGACAACTTATACTGATAAATCGAGGTTTATTTAATCATTTTTTATTTTCTAATGTTTGTAATAGTCATATTTGGAGAAACTCATCAATAACTTACACTCTGCATTATATCTACGTGACGTATTGATAATTACTAACCCTGAGATTTAGTAAGGAAATGAAATTAATGCAGTTTTTCGTTGCCGTTGCCTTGTCTGGAATTCTCTTCCGTAAAAAACTCACTCATCTATTTCAAAGAATTTCACATCTTTGTAAATTTCAAAAAAAGGCAGACACATTCAAAAAGGGAGAATACCAACTCTCTATAGCCGATTACAATCTAGAAGTATCATTTATTATTCAACAAAAATTGTATTTCAAAGAATAACTTGTCTTGGTTATTGCAATGATTTGTCCCCTGCTTCATAGTGGGATATGATACCATTGTTACAGAATGACTTCAAATTTATTATACTTTACTGAAATTTCGCTTTGCTGTGAAAGCGCATTTTAGTAAGTAGTTAGTTGAGCTATCCTTTTTTCGGTATTTTACGTCATTAGTAATAGACTATCAGTTTTCGTTCGACATTAACGTTTCACTTCTAGTGTAATGTTTATAAATTTATCATTTTGCTTTTATAAGAAACATACGCAGTTAAGTTAATAATAATCAATTGTCTAAACAATCATTTTAATTGTTCTATGTTTTTAGTTTAAAACAAGAACTAACCTTATCTAGTCCACCATTGAAAGCCTGAAAGCAGAGAATGACCGGTTTGTTCTGGCATAGGACTCTTGAGTAATGTACATCCACTATCCATCACACAGGAATCGAACCCTGGAACCACGGTTTCATAAGCGAATGCTTAACCTTGAGAGCAGAGTCGGCATCCAACTATGTTAATATCTAACGTCAACTGATTCACAATATTACGCGAAAACCGTCCATTGATTGCGGTGAAAAACATCCTCATACCCGATACGGACTGAACTCCATTGATCACGACTTTTCATCATAACTCCTGAAGTTAGTCAAAGCATAGGTTAGATTACCGTAAGCGAGGTAGTGGGTAAGTACTGACGAGGAGTCTTATACCATGATTCCAGGCTTTTACTAGTATAGCTAAGATCAATTTGTGATGTAAACTTTAAAAACTCTACGATTTCTACATATCGCATTTAAACCTATGTCAACTTCGATTCGAAACTATATAATATATCGGATATAAAAATTATTTTATTTTAGCAATAAATACTATTGCCTGTAAGTTATAATCAGATGAAAGGAAATTCCACAAAATAACTGGATTTATATTATTCCTCTATGTTTATTTTATCTTTACTAATAATGTTCAAGTGACCACGTCTTATGACAATAGAAAACAGATTTGACATATTTTGAGAACAGAATCAAATCCCTCCACTGTTAGGCATATTTCATTTACTTTGCACTAGCGTTATGATTGCCAGCCTGCACAAGACGTACATATGCCAGCCAAAACTGACCAAAATTCAGTCAAAATATTAGTAACAGAATAATCTAAACTGTTTCAAATTGTAGCAACGTAATCCATTCTCAAAAAGTTAATCACAATGTATAGATGAAGAAGTTTCGTTTTTAACGCAAGAGTAGAGTGTTCAATTGTTCCACTTTGCTTAACGTAATGAGAGCGTTTGAAAATATAGTTTAATTATATCGATTAGAAATTGTAATTCATCCTGAATAAAAATCTTGAAAAACGAATATTTTTCATTAGGAATCTATTAGTTAATTTAGCTTTCTGATTGAAACTGAGCACTCTATCGCTCATACGATCTCGATACGATAGTGGGATCAAAAATAACTCTTAAATCATGCTAGTTGTTCACAAAACATATTAATTAATAAACCTGTGTAATGTGTATCAGTCATGAACAACTAATTTATGTAGTTAAGTATTAGCTATCAGTTGACATGTTTACATTCATTTAACTAGTCCAGAAGTAATATTTCGTCTTAATACTCACCAAACAATAAAAAAAAACAGAAAAGGCAGTCAAGTAAGAACTTTTATAATTACAATAAGTCAGATGTAAAAATAACATAAGATTTGTAGATTTATTTCCAATACGTTTTACATCTTGATTGATAAGAATCGGTACATAGTATTGATCTCCAAAATAATGTACAAATAGGCTGATTATTCAGTATCTCCAGTTATTTCAGAATTTTCATGAATTACTGATTCCTTCGCGGTGTGTCCCATGATACATGGACTAGGTTCAATGTTGGCTAGTCGCATGAAATGTAAACGTTCAAAACGTCCAATATAATGTCTCAAACTTTTAGCTCCACGCCAACCAGCAAATACAAGTCTGCAATGAGGCAAACTATCACATGTCCATGGTTCGTCCTATTCAAAGAAAGCACAGATAAAGGACGGTTAACAAACGATAGTTAATATGTATACTAAAGTATAATCTTCAAACCAAGTATAGAATAGGCTAACATAAAATGTACCAAAACAATGACAGATAAGTAAGAAATCTGAGATAGTGGTGATAGATAATGGATTTTTAGTAATCATAAATTGGTAGCTGATATAACATTAACCAGTATTTTCTTATATGTTCAGACATTTTCCGAAGAATCTTCTCATTTATTACATTTTTTCAGATCTCGTAAGATGTTAGTGTCAACGAAATCTTCCCTTGCAATGATGGGTAAAAATTTCATAGTATTTAAGTTAATTTCTATAGTTAAGATCATTGGTTTTTGTATCAACAGAGACAGTATATGAAAATGCACTTAGCGATGGAATCACATTAAATTATTAACTTCTGTCATGTTTCTGTTGAATCATTAACCGGCTTTCTACTTCTCATACCTGCTTTATAAAGGTACAAAACTGACAGACAACTGTGAATACATAGTCTACTTAATTGAGCTGAATGAACCCTGTAAATGAGTCCTAATAAGAATAATAATCATTTCAAAATAAAAATTTAGTAACTGGTAGTCTGTAGTTGTTGAGACTACAATTTATAGACTAACCAATTAAAATTAAGATAGTAAGTCCTGGAATTCAGAACAAGATTTGGTGATCAATATGATTAAATAACATGACCGTATTAAAACTGATGTAACTTTGTGATGAAAACCCTACAATCTAGCTCTAAATCGTATTCCTACTTCCCCACACAAATTAATAACCCTATTTTGAATCTCACTAAGTGAATGAATTTTCTCAAGGTCATTTTAGCATCACTCAAAAGCTGTCCAGAAATTATGGTGTCATTGTAAACCAGTCATTAAAACAACCATAACATTTACAATTTATAACAAAAACATTGTTTAAACACTAAAAAAACAAATAAATTTACATCATTTGTGTCATCAGTGACATTAGGTGTATAATCGATTAAAACTGGACCAGAGGATATCTTTTCACATTGACAACGTGTTGATTCAGTCATAAGACTTAACAATGGCATTTCATGCTGTAAAAGTAACACTAAATCACAATATTCATTTGGTGTAAGACGAATACGACGATCACTTGACAAAGGTATATAAGCATCAACTACTTCAATTCCATCCTGTAATAAACGATATCCTTCAAATTGTTTATCTTCAACTGAAGAAAATATTCGAACGCCAGTATTCACTATTTTCACACCTAAACAAGAAAAGAATTTCAATAAAGCAATAAGATACATGTACCTTAAAATATAGCTGAAGCGAAGTAAATAATAAACATATTTTTTAACTTCTAATCAAAATAAAGGAAGTGCAAAGAATAGTGCTACATTTTAGTACACGTCTCATTTCTGATTAGCGTTTTTGTAGCAAGTTTTCTACCAGATGCGGTTGCTAACCCCAAGTTCATCTCTCCTCTTTTATTCGGGTATTGAACTGACAGTAACTCTAGAAGGGGTCTAGGCGGAGATACTAAATCAGTATAAGGATTGAGACAGAAGTTATCTAAAAATAATCCAGTAATTACATTGATTTTGATAACCAGCCTATTTGATAGTCAGCGCGATATATGTGACATCTCATTGACGAGTTCGATTATTGAGAAGCGAAGATAAATAATGGATACACCAGCCTTGCTGACAGGCTTTTAGTCATGTGATCAATCAGTGAAACATAACTACTCAATTTTTAGTACTTCCTAACAGTTAAAATACTTTTTAAAGACACTTTTAGCAATAAATCACATTCAAATAATCACACAAACCTCTTTCCCTATTTGTCGACACCATATTTTTGATCAAACTATTTGTATAGTAGAGAATGCGACAGCGATTTCCTTCTCCATTAGACCGTGAAAGTATATTATCTGCACGAAATAGCGTTGAAGAGGATTCCGCCGGATAAGCTGACTTGTCATTGATTTTATAATAATCCCGAATTGTTAACCAATTTGAATCCAAGGTAGAATCGATATAAGTGAATCCATTTTCATGAAAGATACGTGACTTTTTAGCGACAAATGAAGGTTCTTGATGAAGGAAAAGAAAATGGAGTGGTAAATAAAGATGGTAGATGAAATCGTAAGTAAATCATTAATTAAAAAAGATGACGGGAAAGACAATATAAAACTGAACTAATGTATTGTGATGATTGAAGACAATGAACAATGCAATAAGCACTTGCATAATTTGGAAAGTCCTTTTTAATCCAGTTACCCGTAAGATAGTTTGATTGATCTAATTTGAACACTAACAGAGCAGAGAGACAGTCAATATGACAATTTAGATCTTCGTATCACTGTAAGTGTTGTAGTTTTCACAATGTACACTTGGATTGATAGACAAGGTCATTATTTTTTTTCATGATATAAACAGCTGAAAGTAGACGGACGCTATTCGATTTCGTGAAGTGTTCCGTTTCAACTTGTACAAGCATTGTATTCACCTTTTAAAAAAAGGTTTCGTCTACTCATAAATCAAATGTCTATCGATTGCTAAGCTTTAACGTCTACATTTATCATCTATTTAGAATTCTAATGCATCGATTTGAACGCTTTCAGCTCTTATTCTCCATCAAAGTATAAATACAGGTTGATTAAAATTAAAAATATAGTATAAAATATCTGATGAGTGCAACTATGACAGAAAAAATATTCATATCTTACTTAAATCATCTTTTGATTCAAATTCTTTATCTGTTTGGTTAGTTTGATTATTATTATTATTATTATTACTATTATTATTATTATTTACAGAAAGTTCTCGTTTTGTAGCATTCATCCAAGGTAATGGAGCAATTTTCTCTAGGACAGCAATGAAAAATCCACCGGTGTTTTGATCATGAGGCAAAACACGTTTACAACGTTCTAAATGTAGATCTGCTACATTAGATGGAGGAAATAAGGATGGGTATATGTAATTCCGTTGGCTAAATTATTTTATGATAAAAAGCAAATAACGAAAGATGGTAATAGTGAAAAAAGTAAATGTTAAGGTTTAAAAGATTGTACGTTTGATAATGAATACATTGGCTTCAGCGAGTGCTACTTAATAAGCAGATTGAACGATATAATAGTCTACAACTGATAATCTTATTTATCTCTTTGGTATAAGTTGATTGTCTAGTAACTCGAATATGCAGGTGAACAAAAATTTGAACTGACAACTGTGAATGCTCTTTATTAACAAGATGATGGAGTCATAATTAACAAAAAAAAGGGTTGACTATCTATTTTGTAAGTAATAAACATTATAGGTGAATAGTTAGTTATACGGTTTTGTGAACTTATTGAGATAAAAGCAGTAAGCGGTTGTTCTAAGCATTAAAAATTATAGTCTACTTTAACGTATGGAATTTGTAGAGATAGAAAAACAGTAAAATGAAAATGCAGATTATGCAGACTATGACTGAACTTTTATCTTCTGCATTTTAGATTCAAACTTATTCTAAATAATTTGGTGTTGAACCAATGGATCCTGTGACATCTTCCCACTTTCACAGTATTTTAATCTAAGTGAGGGCATTGAGAGTCAGAGTGGAATTCAATACTTGTATATTGCAGTGTATTTGCCATATACAAAATGGCTGCTACACTAGAAGTAACTTTCTTACAGTCTACTTCGTCGACGATACATATAATGTATGAGAATGAACAGTTGATAACTTGTGCACTAATATTTGTATAAAAATAAAAATGTACTATGTGTCTTGAAAACTCATACCACTAGATGAAATTTCACATATTTCGGAGAGAATTTAATTCCGTTACACACCAAACAATAATGTCATTGTACCACCGTAACCATGTACAGGTATATACACACTCGGGTTCGAGCTATAATTTGTCTGAAGGCTAATAATAGTTGTTCGAGTGAGTGCACCTTCATACTTGTAGTACATGTTAGGTCATTAATCATGGTTGTCTTACAAGCCCAAACATACAGCATCAACGTTTCTACGTCATTCACCTTAAAGATTCACTTTCTTAACGAACTGATACAGTTGCTTAATCTGACTACTCCTACCATACTTTTGATTCACTCCGAGATCAAATGCACGCAGGTTGGGATGAACTGCACATTTGTAATGAATATATACGTTCTACTGCTATGGTATCCCTAGTATCTACATCCTTCTCAAGTTATACGTGCTAAAGTCTAAGCCTTGTACGAGATCCAATAGCAGAACATACATCTTCATTGTAAAACGATGATCAGTCTATCATTATAATGACGTAGAAGTGTATTTACAAAATAATCATATACGGCAGAAGAGTTAGTACTAGGTTGCAGCAAAGCTCATAACCAAAAAAACAAGAGGGTGAACTATTAAAAGCTTATAATAAGTTAACTGCTTGCAGAATCCATAGTTTATAATATTCTAGACAGTGTTTCCATCGCTTGTGACACATAGCCAGAAAGATATCAGATCAAAAAGTTATGCCACAACAACAAACAAGATTAAATATTAGTTTTATCAAAAAGTGAATAGTTAATCTAACTTTTTAACTACATACAGATTCAATGAATTAAGTTCTGAGTTACGCCTATTATTTAATGACTACAAATATGTACTGACTGCTTAGACAAAGAATTCAAAGAACTAAAAGTTGAGTACTAACGTCACAACATAGCAACTGAAAGATAAACACTTTTTAAATAAAAAGTAAAACTTATTACTGCGAACCGTATTGAGTCATGTTAAGTCAAATAATATATATATAATGATGAAAACTATAAATTTTACTGTAAACAATGCAATGGAATAGTGTAAAACTGCTATTTACCCTGTAGGAACTTCATCATATGATGTAAACCAAACTCCTTTTTTATCCATTACACGCCAACTGCTTAAACCTGGTCTAAATTTAAATTCCTGTCTGCCTGAATATTTATTTTCAGAAGAATCTGACAATATATGTTCCATAAGATTGGGTTCAATTAATCGAACCGCTCCCTGACATGCATGTAACATCGAGGCTACAACAGCTTCATTTTCAACAGGATTAAAGCTACAAGTTGAATAAACCAATCGAGAATAGCTTGAAGAATCGCTAACTGGATCACGCAAAAGTTCCAAACCTCTCCTTAAAATTCTACATTGTAAAGGATGTTCACCAATGCCCAGGTTAGGCGACCATCGTAACCAAAGATCAGGATTTTTGCGAAGTGTCCCATCTCCACTGCATGGTACATCTGCTAAAACACGATCGAACATTAGTTGACGTAAATCTTTCTGACTAGTCTAGAAAACAAATAGGAAGTTTATAAATGAATCAAAAAAAAGATTACTGTAAGAATAAATCCAGAACTTACTTCAATGTCTAAACCAATTTTAAGTAGTAAAATGTTCTTTAGGAAGTAGTATATCTTACTGAATCATGCTTCTTGAATAATATCTTCTAATCTTAACCTCTCCGATAACGTATAATAACTTTACTACCTCTACTACTATTGGATTTGAATTGAAAATTACATCTCTGTGCTAATATGGTATGGCAACATGAACTGATGTACGTACGTACGAAGTTCTACGTTGCATCTGACTGACTGACTGACTGACTGACTGACTGACTGACTGACTGAGTACATCTAAATAAATTCGATATAATTCACGATGGTTATCAATAATCATTTAATATATGCCAGTTGGATTCTTTGTTGTCAAAAATTGCCTATATGAGATATTACTTCATCAACTTTATCACAAGTAAAACATTAGTTCAAAAGAAAAGCTTCGCAATGAGGAACTGGTTCATAGCAAAATGAAAACTGGAAGAAAAGCATCGAAATTATCAACCAATTATATAGAAGTATATAATAACTACACTGTGGTTTGATGAATTGCTTTATGTGATACTCTTTAATAATTAAACAGCTTAAGGTGAATAAATTCTACTTGGTACAAAATAAATTGTAGAATATGAAACTAGTATTTTGCATCATACTTTTGAGAGGAATCAACAAGATGTTAATGCTTATTAGTACGTACATATCAATACAACATACCTGATATCTTCACATATAATATGACTAAATATGCTACCTTTTGAAAATATGTCAATGACTACTGTCTAGCGACTAGTAGTTTATTCATCAATGCTTCTGTCAACATAGAATACGAAATGAATAGGTAAATTAATAAGTAATTCAATTTAACTTTAATTTATTATTCAAAAGATTATACAATGAACAAACCTTATCATCTGGTGATAGTGTTACGTACAGACGTGGGAAGCATGTAGCATCTTCTTGAGTGATTACAACACAAGGACTTTGTAAACGCTTGACTTGATGAACCATCATATAACATCTTTTCTGATCAAAATCATTTGCAATAATCATTCCTGTAGGTTCTACATACTTTAGAGCATTTTCAGCATTAATTTTCGATTGAACTATTTCAGCATCAGAATGTAACAGCTCAACAAGTTGAGCAGATTTAGATCCAGGTGCAGCACATAAATCAAGGACAGTATGATGTGAGCGTACATCTAAAAGAAGTGGAGGCAGCATACTCACAGCCTCTTGACGACTGATGTTACCTAAAGAAAAAAAATAAATAAAAACGCATCATTTCAACAATTCAAATGTCTTCTTATTCTTCGTTGATTGTAGTCACATGCAAGCTGAAACTGAAAATCCTAAACATCACGTATAATCTTTTGAATATCAAACGGTGATGAGGAAAAAATGTTTGGAAGGCATTAATCTTTTTCTGAAAGTCAACTAATACTTTAGAATTAGTCTGGACTCACATCCAGTTAGGTATCAGAGACTAACATGGTCAAGGGCATCGCTTTTCTATTTAAAGTATCGCTTGTTAGTGATGGATCCACTGATTGACCAATAATAATTTCGGGCCAAGTGATGATAATTCGGCTGATAAGGTTGTGACATGTGCTACGTTAATTCAGTCAACGAGCACTGGAGGGTTTTGGGCTGGCTAATAACACTAAGAGGTTAGAAAAACGCTGATGGATGATAAACGAAGACACTAGTTTACAAAATCATTGATCTAATGTCATATGAATAGGAAATACCCAAGTGCCAGTTCGGATTTGCGATTTGATAGTAGAGTAAGTGTTGAAACCTTAAGAGGCAAGTTGGAGACCACGATACAGATTCATTCTTATTATTTGTGATAAAGATAGTTCTAGTACGTACATTTCTCCTCAAAACCATATTTCTTTTGAAATTTATTTTAAGCTTTACTTACTACTATTCTTGAAAGTTTATTTTTCAACTAAGATGTAATCAGAGTACGTAACATTACTGTTTACAATTGTTTATGTGTAAATAACAAACTACTTTCAATTCAAACTAGTAGGAAGAACTGTAATGCAACTACTACTAATACTGAGTCAGAATAATTATTTACTTGGCTATTCGTTGTATAGATATGTATATCAACTTCCCGTAAATAATTTATTTGTCAAAGCAATAATTCTTAAACATGAGACATTCAAAAGGTAGGTGCGAATTTACACTAACCTTAAAACAACATACAGCTGCTATAAAAGGTGATTTTACCTGACTCTGTCTCAGACACTAGAAATTGCTGCAATGTCCGGAGTTCTGCTGTTTTGCGAACTGCATATTTACTAACATTCAGCTGCCATGCCATTTCATTCGGATACCAAGGTAACGGTTCAAAAGTACCATCAGTTTGACCTTTTTCATCACACATATAATGTTGCATTTCAGATATATCCTTCCGGTATTTTTGTTTGATAAGTCGTAATAATTCTTTATTTTGATCTCGAAATCCTGTCACCCGAAATGTAATAGGCAGATCTTTTTTCAAATAACTAATGAAACTCTCCCACTCGTTCTCAGGAACGATCCCTTGATTTTTATAATACTTTTCGAACAACTCGTTTTGTTTCATTTCAGGTTTAATATGCTGTCTGCATTGTGTTGTTGGTCTACGACGACCCATAATTCTTTAATAATACTTGGTTCAATCTATACAATAAAAAATGAATCAATATGTTAACTGTTGTTGACAGTATCTTCGTTTTCGTTAGAGCTAACTTCTAAGAGAGCCGCAACATTTTGTATAAGTACATACACTTAATTTTATTCTACAAACGCACACAGTTTCAGCTTGGAAAGAGCAAGAAGTTAAATGGCCACGGTGGTTCCCTAGTTGATTCAACTTTCTTTTGGATGCACTGATAGATGAAGCTTCAATCACGCGTTGAAGTAATGAGTTTCATTTGTTGGTGATACAATGGGAAAGTCGATAGTAAGTAATTTATTCTGTAATTGCAAACTTTGTTGGTGTCGTCGTCAATGGTCTGTTTCGGAAGGCAAAAAACTAAGGGCATATCAGATGTAAGTTTACCACCGAGTAATTTAAAAACTATAGTTAAATCACCTCTGGTACTTCTAAATAACAAGAAAAATAGGGTTGGCTTAACCAGTTTCTCGACTTACGGCAGCTTTGTGACTCCGGGAATCAGAATAAGTGAGGTTTTTTAACCGTTTCCAACAGCTTAATGTCTTTTATAGACAGGGATTGGTTGCTTGTATGCTTTAATCGAGTTTAGGATGAAAGAACACTATATACAAGGTTAATATGCATTATAATACACCTGGAAGCATTTGTCAGCAACTCTTACGAGTCGGAAGTTGTCACGTTTGTGTTTTGGTGACAAGACTTACTATGGTGTTCTCCCATCTTCTGGTAATCTACCTTGAATTACAGATATATGAAAAACATGTTTAGGGAAGTTCCGGTAAAATTTGCTGGTTCTTTTAGCAATCTAGATAACATTTTGTCGAGTCCTATAGACTAACTTGTATCAAGTATATTTAACAGACCAAAAGTATTAAGTTCTTTAATGGTCACAATGTCTAACATGTAAGCCGAGATATGCATGAACTGAAGAGAAATTTTTTTTGAAACACCTGAGCTTTACTACAATTGTCTTCCACTAATGGCGTGGTAATAGTGTCTTTTCACAGTGCTGGGATGTCACCTCTACTCTTCGTTCTTTAGTTTATGTGCATGTATAAACGTTTTGGATATTCTACAAATTCTTACACAAGCTCTTTTATGTACGATCTTCTCTTTCTAGCTTACTGGGCTAAGGAAAGACACCGTAAGAAAGCCTATTAGGGTTTTACTTAATCATAATATATTTCAAGAACAACTACGCGACCATCTAAGCGATTCCCATCCGGAGGCAGGTTGGAATGATATCAAAAAGGCTGTGGAAACAGCAGTGATATCTGCTAGTAAGGTTAACCATAAGGCTAGAATGAAGCCGTGGATCTCTGTAGCATCCACCGATCTGATGGATGCCCGAAAACTCATCCCACCTGGCTCTGAACATGATGAAGAATGAAGTCAACTTAGGCGCAGGCTGATAAAAAGCCTGCGCAACGACCGTGAACAGTGGTGGGTGGAAAAAGCGAGAGAGATGGAAAAGGCAGCGTTGATAGGCAACAGTAGGCAACTATTTAGACTCATCAAGGAAACTGGTATTAGGAATGCTAGTATGAGTGAGACTATTTCGGAAAAGGATGGTCTTATTATCCATTCTCAATGCAGGAGACTGGACCGATGGGCAGAACACTTCAAGGATCAGTTCAACTGGCCTCGAGCAACTCTTCGGTTACCCACGATCTCCAGTCATCCTGAATGGCAAATCGACGTAAGTCCTCCTAGTCTTAATGAAGTTGAAAAAGCGTTAGGAAATCTGAAGCAAGGTCGAGCTGCAGGTCCTGATAGACTGACCCCTGAGATATTTAAGGATGGTGGTCCAGTTTTATCAACTAGGCTGACTGAGATCTTAGATAGAATCTGGGAACTGGACGTAATCCCATCCGACTGGTCTCAATCCCTGATTGTCCCAATTTATAAGAAAGGACAGAAGTCTTCTCGTGACAATCACAGGGGAATAAGTCTAACTAACATAGTATCTAAAATATTGGCCTCAATAATACTTCGACGCTTAACAAAAGCTCGTGAAGAGCAGACTCGGGAAAACCAGACTGCTTTCAGACCTGGACGTGGTTGTATAGACCACATCTTCACACTACGACAGGTCCTGGAACACAGACACACATTTAGGCGTCCTACAATAGTTGTTTTCCTGGACCTAAAAGCGGCATTTGACTCTGTAGATCGTGAGGTTCTGTGGCAGGGTCTGTCATTGAAAGGTGTACCAGAGAAGTACACCAACCTTATACAAGCCCTTTACTCGAACACTACTAGTCGAGTGAGAGATTATGGCGAACTGTCACCGGAATTCTTCACTTCAAGTGGTGTCCGTCGGGGATATCCACTTTCTCCATTCTTGTTTAATTTTATCATAGAAATGCTCCTAGAAATAACCTTATCCTCGTCTGAATTTTCTGGAGTAGACCTTCTACCAGGTGGCTCGCCTATTGACTTAGAATATGCCGATGACATTGTCCTACTTGGTGAAGACGCTGACAAAATGCAGTCTTCTGACAACCCTAAGCAATAATACAAGCATGTTCGGGATGCGGTTTTCCCCCTCGAAATGCAAAATGTTGCTTCAAGATTGGGTTGCATCGGCACCTGAACTAGTGATAGGGAGTGAAGTAGTCGAACGTGTAGAATGCTTCACTTATCTTGGGAGTCTCACCAGTGCTGATGGCGTGGTGACTGTCAAAATCTCAGCTCCGATACAGGAGGCTCGATTAGCTTTTGCCAACCTGCGTCACTTATGGCGTAGGCGAGATATCCGTTTGCTGACTAAAGGACGAGTGTACTGCGCAGTGGTTCGCTCCGTCTTACTTTATGGCTGTCCAACAACAGTTCTAACTATTTTTTGTTGGAAAAGGTTTCGTGACCACTTAGTTCTTCGATTTTTCCAGCCTACAGTAGGTTCGTTGTGGTCTCTTAGAAGCATCGATTGGTCGAAAGCTAGGTGATAAATTGGTCTACCAGGACCTCATTTACCTCAGTTTGGACTGCAGTAAACTAAAATAATCACTATATTTTTTCCTAACGTCTCAAGAGGAAAAATACTAGTTCGCACATTCCACTTTCATTGGATAGGTTTTCGATACCGTTCAAGGTTATATAAATTCTAATGAAAAAGTAAGTTCTCCTTTAAGTTTCTGTCGGATTCAACTAATGAGAAATTTTATAAACTAGGTCTCCCATTGTCTACAGACTCGGTCATCGAACCTTGGATGTATTTATTTGTTTTCTCCCAGAGTAGCAGTGATAACTGCGCTACGTACACTGTTATATCTTGAATGGTTGTCGAAGACAGGTCGTTAAGTCGTGACTCCTGATTACCCTGCTAGTAACGGACCTAGCTATACGATTTCGTTTAATAGGCGTCTTCTTACTGCCGCTGCTTGAGAGGTGTGGCACAACAGATACATGCTCTCTTAGGTTTGTATTTCTAATAGTTCTCATTAAAGTCTTTCTTCCTTCAGGCCTATGCGAGTCGATCGACTATGATCTTACTTGGGACGACCGCATATCGATTTCTATATCAACACAGAAAGCATCAGACTATTTCCTATGGTGCTTGTTAATATGCTTTTCAACAGAGTTCATTACTGTTGGTACACAAACTCCTGACTTTGAGGAAGATTGAGCAGTATTGAGGCACAACCTCTACTATTCACAATCCTTACGAAAGATGAAACAATTGAACCCGCAAAATTACTCTGCCAAAATTTAACACGAGCTGGAAAGGCTATAAATAGACTTCAGTGTTGATATGACTTACCAAGATAGAAAGCACATGGATTAGTAGCGATGCTACAGTATACACCGCGTTTTATGTACAATAGTAGTTTATTATTAAGAGCAGTGGTCGGTAGACCTATATTAATTCTAGTGATGTATTTTTTGGTAAGATTCAAGTTCCTGCTTGAAGTCGTCCTGTGGTGTGGCTGATATCATTTTCCGTGTATAGCATCTCAGATAATGGCCACTCAATAAAAGGCGGGACGACAATCTGAATTTTTGCATCCGCCATTTCTGAAGATGATTCTCACTAGAAATAGCTTGTTTATCTGAGTTAAAATCTTGTTTTCTAGAGCCGTATCCCCCTTGTCTCCATTACTGTTAGGTGTATATATGGTTGTGTCTGTCACGTATATTCAGAGTTGGACAACTCTTTCGACCGAAACACATTTGACGTGGATACCCAGAGCCAAATCACCCCAGAAGTCAGGAATGAAGAGGATCGAAGGTATATTCGAATGATGGTTTGGTTGCTGAAGAGTGTGTGAACTAAGCTTGCTGACTGATGTCAAGGGATGCATTGCGCAGCCTTGGTGTGGATATGTGGCTGAAAGCCTTCACCTGGGTGTGTCCATTAGAACTAATGAAGTCGAAATCAACGTTGAAGACTTACAGAACTATTTGTTTTGGGGATTTATTTACCACTACAGGCCTAACAGCTTGTGGATGAAGCTTATAGTTAATGATATGTAGTGGAACACTTCTACGAAGAAAGCGCGATTGATGAAAAATAAACATTTTTCATAACGTGCTGCTCTCTATGTAATGCCTACTTTCTCCTTCAATAAATGTTCGAACATGGATTTATTTCTGACTTACGTGACGGGACATTATGGAACATTTGGTGGTGATTTTAGTCAATCTGCGACTCCATCACCACTAAAGATAGTATTCAACAAAAATATGGGTGGTGCTTCATCTTATTATTGTTATTTGGACATTTGTATTTGATCTCGCATTAATGTGGTTGTACTAGTGAATTGCACCTCTTGTAGTTGTTGAATAAACAGACTAATTTCACTGCTAGTTCACTGATCCTGGATAAAGTCAATAAGTTTTATTTCATCTTGGCTATCTGACATGGATAATCCGACTGCAACAACTTTTTTCTCTCACGTCAAGCAAGCTCAGTAGAGTATCCATAATAAGACATGAATCAGCTGTTTGGAAGCAATTTCTAAGATGACGCTTCATTTTCGTTGGATACGGCCTCAGAAGCGTAACTCCGTCCAGGCTCCGCAAAGTGACTATATTACCTTAACACCTTTTCAGTTGGTAAATTTTACATATCAGCAGATTTTATTATTTTCAACTGTTATGCGTCTTTGTGCCCATTTTTTATGCGTCTATTCATACATATGTCTTACTGGATGTAATGTGCATTACCTGCTTGATCTTCAAACGTAACTTTGAAATTATCTAAATAGTTTATCAACTTCAACCTAGAGATCAAGAAGATAAGCTCTACCAACAGGTTTCTTGTATTTAGATCTAGGCCAGCATAAGCGAATTTATCAACGACACTGAAATAACAGACCTAATCTAATATTATTGACTTTCCACCATCTAAAAGATCTTATGCAAAACTTACTTATCCTAGGGCAATAGTCATCAGTATGCTTTTCATGAACCTTTGATGCATGCATCTGTGATGCGTATAGAGTAATGTATTGGTATTAGAATGGAGAGGTTGGTTAGCGCGACAAAGCTTGTATGGTCAATCCATGCTACTCTAAAAATGTTTTTCCTAATTAACTGCTTCTGATCTCTAAGTGCTCAATATTGAGTGTAAGTCTTCTCAAATATTTAGAGTTTTGCTCCAAGGATCGTATAGTTACGAACCAATTCCCGTACAATGGCTTAGGCATTACTGACAGTAAATTGATGAAGAATGTGAATAAAAAAGCTTCAGACAGTATGCAAGTTTCAATAAGTTTCAATTCTTTTTGTGACAAGCTGTAACAAATAGGTCTGTTTCTCACATTTCACTTGCTAATGTTACGCCAGCACTACTAATATTGGTTGCTTTGTTGTCTCAGTTTGACGAATGAGTTATTGCACACTTTCCTCGATTACCTTCATCATTTGAAATAAATACGAGCAATATATTTGATGAGTCGTTGGTTCACGCTTACTCCGAGAATAAGGCCAATTTGTTGGTTATATACAAACGGATTAAAGCAGATCGACTGTGTGCTGTGTATGTCACTTCCATTTCAGATATTTGGCAGCAGAAATTGATTTTTCATGATAGTTCTAAACGTTCTGAGCGACGTAGAGAGATAAAGTTCTTGCTCATTGTGTGCAACATTTGAATTTTCTACAAAATTCACAAAAGCTGCTCTCACGATTCTGATTGTCTGGTCCTTATGTTGTGATTTTATCGACCATGACTGTGGATGCTGAGGTTGACTACTGTTAAACGGGAATGATGTGACCAAACGCACGTCAAAGGCGACTGCGAATACGTAAATCTATATGTTGTCTGATGACTGATCAAGTCAATAAGAACCTTACTAACATGTAATATTTTTAATCAAAGTGAAATCAAAGCTTCGGTAGGATAGCACATACTCATAGTATTATCATGAGATGTATCCAAGTTAAACAAGTATAACAAAGATTTAACTGATTCAGGATAAAAAAGAGACATGTGTGAACGTCCTTGGAAAAAATTATTGCTACTTCTATTTACTGTGGTCCAAGACCATGTGGGTTTCATCTTACATTAGACCACCCTCATTGACAGTCGATTCACCGTATCACAAACCTGCACTGTGATTTACTGAGGAATCTGAATCAGTCAGTGAGTAATTAACACCACATACATTGGAAGAAAAACTCTATTTTGTTGACTGGCTAAATTCTTTGGGTTTTTCTGGCAACTTACTTAAGTACTTACTTACGTCTGTTACCCCGATTGGAGTATAGGCCGCCCACCAGTTTTCGCCAACCAACTCTGTCCTGGGCTTCCCTTTCCAATTCTGTCCAATGTTTGTTCATTCCTCTCATATCTTTCTCTATTTCTCGGCGTAATGTGTTACTTGGCCTTCCTCTTTTCCTTCAACCCTGAGGGTTCCAAGTGAGTGCTTGTCTTATGACGCAGTTAGGTGCTTTTCGTAGTGTGTGTCCTATCCACTTCCACCGCTTCTTCCTGATTTCCTCATCCACTCGAATCTGGTTTGTTCTCTCCCACAGTTCGTTGTTGCTGATCGTGTCTGGCCAACGAATACGAAGTATTTTGAGTAGACAACTGTTAATAAACACTTGAATCTTCTGAATGATGGCTTTCGTAGTTCTCCATGTTTCCGCTCCGTACAGTAGAACTGATTGAAAGTTGTTTGGAGTTCCAGATATTTTTCAACTGTAGAAACGCAGCCCTTGCTTTGCCAATCCGCGCCCTCACATCTGCATCGGATCCAACTTTCTCGTCGACGATGCTGCCCAGATATGTAAAAGTGTTAATGTCCTCCAAAGCATCTCCATCAAGAGTGATTTGGTTGGTGCATGTTGTGTTGCATCGGAGAATTTCGCTTTTTCCTTTATGTATGTTGAGACCTACTGCTGCTGAGGCTGCTGCTACACTGGTCGTCTTCCCTCGCTTGTGCGATAGAAGAGCCAAGTCATCTGCGAATTCCAGATCGTCCGGCTGCGTCCTAACTGTTAGTTGATACCGTGCTTCCCTCCAGATGTTGAAGTTTCCATAATCCAGTCGATGACCAGTCTGTTAGCTGCCCTTCGTGTACGATTTTGCAGTTGAATCCATCATAAGAAATCCGTATGATGTTAACTGTTTTCTCAGGCACACCGTAGTGTCGAAGAAGCCTCCACAGTGTTTCCCTATCCACGCTATCGAATGGTTTCTCGTAGTCGATGAAGTTGATGTAGAGTGGTGAGTTCCATTCAATTGATTGTTCCACAATGATCCGTAATGTAGCAATTTGGTCAGTACACGATCGATCCTTACGAAATCCAGCCTGTTGATCTCCAAGTAGGGCGTCTACGAAGTCCTTCATTCTGTTTAACAATACTCTGTTGAAGACTTTGCCTGGTATTGAAAGAAGAGTGATGCCTCTGTAGTTCTCACACTTGCTCAGGTCGCCTTTCTTTGGTATTTTGATCAGGTATCCTTCTTTCCAATCTGATGGTACTTCTTCCTCATCCCAAATCTTCTTGAAGAGGATGTGAAATATTTTTGCAGTTGCTTCTACATCTGCTTTCATTGCCTCTGCTGGAATGTTGTCTGGTCCTGCTGCTTTGCCGCTCTTGATTTGTCTGATGGCCATACTGATCTCCTCAATCGTAGGTGCGCCAATATTAATTGGGAAGTCCGTGGATGCTGCTTCGATGTTGGGTGGGTTCAGTGGAGCTGGTCGATTCAGGAGTTCCTTTAAGTGCTCTACCCACCTATTTCTCTGTTCTTCAGCGTTGCTGAATACTTTGCCTTCCTTGCTTTTCACTGGTCGTTCTGGTTTTCGATAGTTTTCGGCCAGCTTCTTTGTTGTTTCGAACAATTGTCTCATGTTTCCTTCTCTTGCAGCCTTTTCCGCCGTCATTGCTAGATCTTCCACATATTTTCGTTTGTCAGCTCTGATGCTCTTCTTCACTTCTCTGTTTGCTTCTGTGTATGCAGATTGTGCGGTAACTTTCTCCGCTCTTGTTCGGCTGACATTGATTACTGCCTTCTTGTTCCTCCTCTCTTCAATTTTTGCGAGAGTATCAACAGAGATCCATTCCTTGTGATGGTACTTCTTGTGACCCAGAACTTCGTGACATGTTGAAGTGATTGCCTCCTTAATCCCTTTCCAATTGTTCTCCAATGTTGCGTCTTCTCCATTGAGTATATCCCGCAAGGCCTGGAACCTATTGGTGAGGGATATCCTGAATTCGTTGAGCTTTACAGTATCCCGAAGAAATGCCGTATTAAACTTGTGCGATGTTGTCTGCCCCGTTGTCCAGTGCTTCTTTAGCTTCAATCTCATTTTGGCGATCAGCAAGTGGTGATCTGAAGCTATTTCAGCTCCTCTCTTGGTTCTCACATCCTCCATGGTCCTTCTGA